TTTCCTGTCACTTAATGCATTACGAAATCCCCCTTACATCCGCCCACTCATCCCACGGCAGAGAAATTTGGATCACATTCCACATTTAGAGATGCCTTCGCCTCGCCTCTTTCAATTTCCTGGCTGAGCGGATTAATGGAGCACAGCCGAAGCTCAAAACAGGAAAACTCAAGGAATACAAATTCCGCTTAATGACCGAAAATCCCTAACTGAAATAAATTTGATTTTATTGACTGCGAATCGGAAGGCAGCCAACGGCAGCGCAGCGGCAGAAAGCGATTTGAATTTCCCAGACAATGGCCGGGCTTGAATTTGGGAAATTACATTTTCCGCCTTCATCACCGAAACCGAAACAAATGAATTATGATGTGGCCAAACAAAAAAAGTGATTTCCTTTGTGCCAACCCCTTGAATGGAAGCTGCAGCCCGAAACCCAGGCCCAAGCCGATGCCAAACCAGTGCCAGGACACGTGCGTTTGGGCCCTGTCAACGGGGCGTATAAATCTTTTCAGCTACCCAATACTGATGACTATCCCCCGACGCTCTTCCGGGCGCTGGTTAAAAGTTCTTGTTCGGCTGCCGGCTGCCCCATTGCTATTAAATATTTAGGCAATTTGTAGATCTATAGCGATTTGGCCCTAATGTGGGTTATATTTATGAGCAAGCCCTGAATAATTCACCTTGCCCCCGGACAGGCTCAGGACTGGTCCGCTCTGACCTAACCGGGACAGTCTCTGGCTTTGGCTCTGGCTCTGGTTCTGGTTCTGACTCTGGTTTGGTATTCCATTTGGCGTTCGTGTTCGTGTTGGTGTTGGGTAATTTATTGGCCATGTCTTTCAATATTTAATTGAATACGGTGTCGCAGGGCCAGACAAATGGCCAGTGCCAGTGCCACTGCCAGTGCCGATGCGTGCTGTCAAAAGTGCGGCACTAAATTGCGGGCCACTTAGCCAGAGGGGACTGGAGGCAGTGGCAAGTGGGGCAGGTCCAGCCCCAGCCCCAGCAGGAGGCCTTTGTCTGCTTTATTAATAGATACCCCGCTTGGCCACAAGGCAGGGAGATGGCTATTGGGTAAATGGTAAAATCCAGATCAAAATAGATTTGAACTTTACTACTAGAGCACCGATTGTTTGAAGGAAAAAGGTTATCGTGTTCTTTCTGTCAAATCTGTTGTAGGCTAGATTTTCCCAACCCCACTATGAAGCTGCAAATTTGTGCTAGTACATAAAAGCCAGGGACTTGCCGTTAACCATTCGAGATGCAAAGTCAACAGCAACGCAGAAACAGGCACTCGTCGGAGAATTTCCTTGAAAGCTGACCGAGCAACACGGCGTATGAGCAACCGTTCATGGAGTGGCACAATTTCACGGCCCGATTGAAGAACAAACAGCGGCTGGAAGGCAGTAACTGTTTGTCATTGGCATTAATTATGCGGCACGGCATGGAAGGCCAGAGGAAGAGCTGAGGAGCGGCGGGAGGCATGAGGTAGAGGCACAGAATGTCGTAGCGAATCTGTCACATCAAGAAAACTTTTGCAGCATAATTTGACAGACTTGAAAATCATTTGCGGCCACAGAGAGCAAGTGAGGCATGATATGTCACACAGATACGCACATACGTACACATGTCCCCCTTTCTGTTGTCATAGTGTATCTGGAATTGAATTATAGCATACCGAATGCACAGCACAAAAGTCAAGCTCAGAGCACCACACGTTTCCAATTTGTTAGGATATATCCAATATACAAATACGACTGTATTTATAGGCGGGACAGGGGCAAGCTGGAGGGCTTGTGTGTCACTTGACATTTGTGTAAACCGAAGGAGAGGATCCCAGAGAGAGAGAGGGAGAGGCGTGGGGGAGGAGCAGGCTCGTACTCGTACATAATATGAAATGCTGCCAGGACATTCATGATGGGCCCCATTCTCCGCTCTGTTTTGTTGTTATGCGCCTGAATGATTTCTTTTGTGAAATTGATATCTCCGTATGTACATATGTGTATCTTTCAGCATGTGGGTGTTTGTATATTTGTATTCTCGAATGCTTCAGACTCAGCTTTGGCTTTGTGGGCTGCCCCAAGCCCTGAGGATTATAACAAATTAAAGTTGTGTAAAGCTGCAAGGATAACACAATTGTGACAGGGAATTTTATACACGTTTACGTTGTTTTCGGTAACATCATTGAAGGCATATTGGGCAGTCATGTGGTAAGATAAGACACCACAAAAAAGGCAGGAGTTGCGAAGGCACTCCAGCTTATTACGACTATGTTGCCAACTCATGATTGAAGTAGAAGTGCCAGCGAAGCTTGAAGAAATCCATTAATATTGATGGCAAGCCAGTGAAGCCAGTGACTTCTAACATGACATTAGAGAGAGTTCCTTAAAGCCAGAGGGAGAACAGGGTCAATTCTCTTAGAAATAAACTTGTTTACTTTCGAAACTGAACATCGATCCACCTGAAAGGGTATGTTAATCTTCGGCTCTCGGGAACTGTTTCCTACATATTATTGTTTTCCTGTTCATGTATGGCCATCCATCACATTTATTTAATTTTCCTTCGGCTCCTCTGAATGTGATTTCGGAAGAGGTCTTGGCGTGTCTGGATTTGCATGGCTCTGCCGAATATTTTCCCCCTCGTTTATTTATTCTTTCGAATTATGCGCTAAGCGGAGCTCGCCAGTGATTGATTGGCCGGCGGGAAGTGGGACTGGAAGTGGTAGTGGAAGTGGAAGTGAAAACAAGGCAAGACAAATCCTCCAGTGTCAGGCCGATTGCCCCCGCCCCTTGGAGGCGCTTGGAAGCTCTGAAACTCACGTAAAGCCAGTCATACAAATATTTCATCAAACAATAAAAAACGAGCCAAAAAACGGCAGACGAAATAACAGAACGTTGTAGGTCATGTGTCATTCGCAGAGTCCTTAGTTCCGCTCCTCCTCCCGGTTCTGTTCTCGATCCCGGTCCTGGTTCTCCTCCGCTCTCCTCCGCTCTCCTCCGCTCTCTTGTTTAGTTTAGTTTTGTTTCGCCTCGTGGCTCATGACTCGTGTTGCATGTGGCATGTTTGTTTGCACTCAGCGGGAAGTGCTCGGGGGATATCAAACTTTAACACAGAATATTTTGTACCATGCCACGGGTCTGAAATTGAATATTTAATTTCTGCTTTGTCGCCAGTGCTTTGATACAAATTTTTTCGGAGGAGTAGGGTGGGGGACAGGGTGGGCCGTTAATTAAATTCCATTCCTCGCAAATATTTTAGACAGCTTGTGCACAAAAGAGACTCAAATGCTTTGGCGGTTCTAGCACATGAAGAGTGCATTTTTTCATTATTTTCGGTGTCAAGTCGAAGCGTTGGTGAAGCCACAGAAAAAATATACAAATTAAGGAATTTTATAACAAAAAAAAAAGGTGAAGGAGAAGGAGAAGAACTTTGCTCATTTCGATATATTAGCTAGAGAAAAAGTTGACTATTTTTAAAAACTTTTGAATAGAAAACTTTTTAATGACAAGTTTTTTTGGAATTTCTTTATAACAGAAGTTCCCGAAACCATTAAAGCTAATAAGCTTTTGCACCAGCTGTTGAATAAAAAGTCGAGATGTTTTAAATAAGAGGCACAATTTATGGTTAGATTGAGACCGACGTATGTATGTACAAATGTATATTGCAGTTTATTGATAGACGAAAGCGAAAGTGTGTATGTTGCTATGTGTGGGAACGAACGATGGACAACGATGTGGGCTACGAAGATCAGCTAGAGACTGAGCAACGACCAAGCAAGCGCACCGAATGGTTCGTGCCCAGAGAAAGAGAGCGCTGTAGCAGCTCGCTTGGGCTGTAGCTAAGCCGAGAGCGAACGATAGTTAGAGCGCGAGAGAACTGCATGTACGAAGCGGGGGGCCAGAGGGGCGAAAGAACGGTTATGCGGTTGAACAAACAAGCAGTGGGCACTGCAAGCAGTACTCTGCACCAATGGCTATTTTTTGAGGAGTTTGTTGACTAATATCGGGCTGGGACAGCCTTCCACCCATATTTTCCCATCAAAGAACAAAAGGAAAAGCCAATCTCTTCTGTTCTTTTCCCTCTCACTGCCATTTGCCCATCGCTTGAGCCTTCCGGCTCTGACCCCGACGCCTACTTGATGCCACTTAATTAAATTGGATGCTTCACAGAAAAAAGAAAAAAAACTCAACGGCTCCGAAAAAAAAAACGAAGCGAAAATCCAACAAAAAGCCCCATCCTACTGTCAACACTTAATCATGAAGATTCAAAGCCCCAGAAAGAGAGCGAGCGATGAAGCTCAGAGTACGAGTCCGAGTTGTGTAGTGAAAAAAATCGAAGTAAACATGGAATGTGGAAACTTTTAATTGCCGTTCTATGTAGATGTGTAGGGGAATATGTATGTAGAGTACATTATAATAAAATCAAATATGCCAGTGTTGCGGCATCAATTTTAAGCTGATTAGATGCAAATGGCTGTGATAAAGATAAAAATACCGAATCAATATCAAACTAAGTCGTTACCAGTCCTCCTCCTGCGCCTCCGCCTCCTGCCAGCCTACGAGAATGACACTTCAAAACAAACTACAGAACGGAAGAGGAAAAAAAAATAAAATGGCAAATCCCGAGCAGATTTGATGTTATTTTTATGTTCAAACTAGGGGCCGACGGATGGGGAGGGGGAGTGTGACGACGGAGCACACAAAAGTCTTATTTATTCATGGGCACGGAGGAAGTACTGGTATGGACGTCAGCAAGAGTCAGCAACTAAGATGTGTCCCGCCCCCACTGGATGCGGGGAAATACTTCTTTTACGAGCACTATCGAAATATGTCCCAGATTTTGATGGCCCTGGCAACACACCTGCGAATCGTAAACCGGGACAACGGACATCCCAGTCGCAGTGAAGCGACAGATAAATTCAAAATTCCATCTCACTTAGTAGTCGATTTAAACAATTATATATATTTAATATCCCCAAGCCCAAAGTCCAAAGAAAGAATTACCTTTTGCTCTCCTTTGAGAATGCTCAGCAGAAAACTCGGGCAAACTATTGGCTCGCTTTACTTCACTATATTTCAAATATTCTCAATGGCGCGCACTTTCCTTTTCTGGGAGTTATGGGGCTTGCTTTCCGAAGGGAACCTATTGAACCGAACGCTTCGCTGGATTTGTGAAACTGGCCTCGTTTGAGCCTGTGAATTTGGTTAAAAACGTATATCGTGTGGCTCTGTTAGCACTCTTCGGGCCAATGTTAACTGCCATTGACTGAGAAACGTTGAGGAAACCCGGCCGAAAGTAGGTCTCCTCGAAGGTACGAGTGGGAATTTACGTGGAACACTTTGAGTGAAGTTCTGAACAGCTTTTCCCCAGATATAAATCCTCTTAAGCTTGGGAGAGCTTTGACAGAAAATTCCCAGTATTTATTTGAATGCAAAAATCGATGCTATAAATACCTGTTGTTGTTTTTTGAAATTGATGGTTGATTTTGGTAAAATGTTAAATGCCAATAATTACCTGTAAATAAATAAATCATATGCAAATCAGTTGACAACATAACGGTTAGCAGCTCATCGGAACACACACACTGAACACACAAATAACGGTTAATAGTTGTGTAACAAAGGGATTTTATAGATACGATACGATACGGTACATAGGAAGGAATAGCAAGGCAAGCTTTGGTTAGTTATGGAAGAGAGTAGGTGAGAGAGCGAAAGCTTTCACGGGAGCTTTCTCGCTTCGGAAAAGTGTTGCCAGCTAGAAGTTAAATTTTGAATTTCAAAAAGAGCTTTTACAGCCCGTTCGGTAATTATTTATAGGACAGAAAACATGCCAATTAATTATATTGTAATTTGATATAGGTATGTATGTATGTTTGTATGTAGTTCAGAGTTAGAAAAGCTAAGGAAAAGGTGTACAAAACGTGCAAAGATCCTATACGTTGGCTACTTTAACAAAGAGTTCAACACTTTTGGTTAGTATTAACATCACAACTGCAACACATCGAGAACAGTAATAACAGCAACTAACACACAGATACATATCTACATATCTACATATGTATGTATGTACGTATGTAAACCATATGAAACAGGACGTGCTCGCTAGCTAAGACAAATATTGGATAGACTTTCACTTGGTTGCTGCTATCGCCGGAAAAGCTCTAGCCACAACAGCGATAATCTTTGGCTAATTCACACACACCGGTTGACGGACTGGTTGTTGGCTAAAACGAATTAACATCGAATTTAAAATCGAGATCCAAATTTTTCAACGGATTTCGACGGAATTTCTGGCTGCCATGGTGATGGTGGTGATGTGGTATGTGTATCTCCAACTCCGGTTCTGCGTCGGTTCAGGTTCAGGTTCAGGTTCAGGTTCGGGTTCGGGTTTCGTTTATTAATAGTTTTTGCAATCATTTATCAAATTTATGTGTGAGTAGAGATAAATACAGAAGAGAAACCATTAAAAAGACCATCAATAATATGGAAATTTATTATCTTTCAATATATATTTTGGCTTATGTGAGTCGTATGCATTCAGAGAGCGAAAGAGTGAGGGCGAGTTGGAATTGCTTAATGAAGTAGGTGAATTAAATGTGTATTGAAGCAGAGTGAAAGTCAGGGAACAGATGCACATTCACAGTCACATTGACAAGACACACGCAATCATAAATGTTAGAAATGAATATCCGGCGTATACGCAATATTTGCTTATACCACTCAATTTTCTCCAAACACGCAGTCCCCCCACCCTCGCCCACTCTTCCACCCCATCAGCACTCCGGCAATATCATAAATTTTCAGCTAATTTCCCGCACACAAAACTTTTTAATCATATAAATAGCAATAAAGTGCGAGTCCTTGGGGAGCGCGAAAAGTTTCCCCGTCGAGAGGGGCTACAAATAGTGCGGCAAAGGCACAATGGAGGAATGAAATCGGAAGTCAAGTCTGCCATTTGGCTTATGAGTGTCTGGGAAGTGAAGTGCTCTCCTCGGCTCCTGGGGAAGTTATGTAATAAAGAAATCCTGAAGTGGAGTTTCCAAAGTTGAGACCGAGCCAAGTATCCAAGAAAAGTTTGAGTACCTGACAAGTGGATTTGCTAACTGAATAATGAATTATGAAATTCCTATTGTCTCAGAAAATGGTTTCGAAAAGGGAAGGCATGCGCGGGATATTTCCTTGATCCAAAAATGTTCCAAACTCCCGTGGACTAAAGGGAAAACAAGTATGTAAATTGGGAAAGAGTGTATTCGCCTAAACCTCTTTTAGTTCTGCCTTTTCTGGCCCCACAAAAATGGGAGTTAAACTTTTATAGTTTCTCCATTCATTTGCCACTCTAGCCTGCAAACAAGTTTTCCCATCGTCTTGTCCAATAAATTTCGAAACAGTATCGATTATATGATTATGTATAAGTTTGCCTGCGGCCAGGCTTTAGAAATTTCATTATGAAATCAGCTTGGGCTCCAGCCATATCCATTTCCCTGTCCTGTTCTAGCCGCCAGTCAAAAACATAAAAGCATTTTGAGCCAAGCTGCCAATGACACGGCCCAAGTATACACTCACAGACGCACACTCACACACACAAAGGACAAAGTAAAGTCTGCTGAAAGTTAGACATCGCATAGACAGACGTCGGCCCGGCCTGGCCTGCCCCAACTTGTTTCCCCCAAAACTTTTAATCAGCCTCAAAAAAGAACAGAAGGAAAGTTGTTGGCATCGCCTTCTTTTGGGCGCACAATTATAGTAGAATTTTCCATATAAAAAAAACATAATCAACGTAATTGCATACGGAATATGGTATGCACAATGAAAAGAAGCCAAAATGGAAAGGCTTGAAGACCAAACACAAAGCCGGAAAAGGAAGCGGTGGCGATATTCGACCTTTTGCTACCCTACAGGAAAACATAAGTTTATGTGAGAGAGATAGATTAAGAAGGAGAAAGAGAAAGAGAGAAAAAAAGTTGATGATGGTATGAAATAATCTTGAATTTTAGGCCCATCAGGAAGCTCTACTTATCAGCCCCCTCAGGGTATCAGAAGTTATTCCTAGGATATTCCAGTCGCTGCTTGAAAAGTCCAAAGGGAAGTTCATGATCGCAGTTGATGATATAACTTTTGTTTCTCCGAATGAAGCCAGGCAGAAAGTGGACCCAACGCAGACACCCCTCTCTCAAAGGCCTACAAGGAATGTTAAAATACTACGAAAGAGGGTTAAAGCGGCGCCAAGTTTATTGTTCGGGTGTCGCAAAACATAACATTCCCGCTGTATTGGTGTTATATGCTCGATTGAACCTTTATGGGGCATGGGGAATGGGGCATGGGGCAGCGACTGTCGCTGGGCTTGTTGTTTATACCGCTGCTGCTCGTAATACAATCAATTTCCGCTTTGTTTGTCAAGAAAACTTGATGGAGGAGATGTGGGAGAGTGGCTCGGTGTTTTTACTTGGTTTTTTTTTGTGTTTTGTTCCGTCTTCCTGTTGTGTACGGAGCGGCAGCGGCAGCGGAAGCAACAGCTCAGCTGCCAATACTGTTCAAACATGACGTATACGTATACGTAATATGCTACCCCCAATTACCGCTCGCCACACTTGCCCCAACGTTGTTAAGTACAGAGCACACAGTTTTTAATTAAATTTTGTATTCCCTGATATATATATATACGAGTACATATGTGTATGTGTAATATCCATTATCATCTTTGAGCATAACAATGGATGGCACTTCATTAGTCGCCAGTTCGGCTGCTCTGGGCCATTTTATTGGGTCGTTGGCTGTAGGATGAGGCATTGGCTTTGTGCAATTAGCCTTTATGTTGTGTGCTCTTGATTAGGACGCCGTGCGCCACATAAGTAGGGCAGACACAAAAGACATTTACAATTTGGAGAGCTCTTCACTGTCTGCTGCGTGCCTGAAATTGTTGTTCGGGTTATTTATGCTCGAACTCTTCCTTGGGGTTCAAACTAGTTTTTTTTTGTGTTCCCGAGACAGTTATTAATAAGAAATTCGAACCTATTTTGGGGAAACCTTGGCCCAAATTGAAACTGAAATCAAGAACAGGGCAAAGGCCAAAGCAATCAATCGGGTGGTTTGTACGTAATCAAAAACTTATCAATTTACTGGGGCTCCCTAATGACGGAGTATTATGTTGTACCTACATACGAAATTATATTTACTGACGTTTATTTATTTCCCAAACGAATTTGCTTATAAATATTTAATTTGCACGGAATACTATTGTTAAACCGATGCGGCATAATCGCAGCTAATTATTCACAGCCCAAACGAATTCCCTTCGCCTGTATGCTCCGTCCAGGATATGCCAGATATGCTCGTATCTGTATGAATACAAATTGTATGCGCATATATTTGCGTCAAGTGACAAATGCCAGACAAAAGAGAGCTCGGAGATGTGTCAGACTGTACTGATAGGCATCATAAATAATGCGAGGCATATCAATTGCTCTATAATAAATTTATAAGCGAATCCCCAGAGCCGGCGTAACCAAATTCAGGAGGTTCTTCTGGCCAAGGAAATCTATGGAATTTCGCTCTGCTGGAAATGAAATATACTCTAGGGTAAACCATTACGATAAACCTATGAGATATTGCTCCCAAAAAAAAAGGCAAGTCCCACTTTTAATCCTTAGCTGCGGTGGCAAAAGTTCTAAAGAGAAAGTGTGAAAAGTAGGAAACCCAAAGACCAGAACGAGTAAAAGTTTACTAGAAATTTGTTTAAGAAATAGAAAAAGAAAACAAAGAATACGTAGAGAAATGAATACAAGGACAAGCCAGCCAAGGCGAGTCCAAGGACAAGTAAAAGAAATACGAAATACGAGTGCCATTAATCCGCAAATCCTTTTCATCCCAATAAGCGAAATCCATTCGGGGAACACACAGACAGCAAGCCTCACGGAAAACCCAAAGGCAGCATCAACAGTCGTTGCGGAAATACAGAGCAATGACAATACGAGTAATAACGAGTCAACCTGAACCCAAAGCTTCGGAGCTTCGGTTTCGAATAGGATGGAGTCCCATCCGCCTTCGTGGAGTCCCAGAAAAATCTCAATTTATCATTTCTTTTGGTGGGGCGACGCAAATTGCAGAGCTTAGGAAATGCTTTGCGCGTCTGTTTTAAAAGGCATTTTATCAGAGCGTCCACACAGACATTAAGGCGGACGAGCACGGACGCCCACAAACACATACAGATATGCCATTAATGGCCCCTGCCCCTGCTCCAACCCCCTCACGAACAGTGGTATGCATAATGTCAGCCATGGCGCCGACATTCTTTAGTCTGTAGTCGGACAAAAATATTAAATAACATTCGGGCACGCATCTGTGGCGCTTGGCCGGCACTTTAATGCCACCCGAGTGTCCAATTTTTTATGCATTTAGTTCGTGTATAAATGCCACACCTCTCTCCCTTGGACTGTTCATATTTGTGGGCAAGGCCATTGCCAAAAGAGAAGTATTTTTAGGCCAGACCAATCCTCTTCTCTGCCGAAAATTGATATTAATGCGTTGGGACCAACGTGGCGTATACGTGTTATTGATATAGCTTCCTGTGCGCACCAAATGGGCTGTGAACGTTCTGCTAAATTTGAATTTTAATGATTTTGACTTGTTCAATTTAATGTCCCTTCCTTCTACGTATGTATGGATGTACATATATATGTATGTTTATATATTGGTGTGAAAATACTTTATTGCCATGGATTTTCCGTTCTATTGCTTTGTCATCTAACCATCCTTGATCGTACCCGCATATTCTGAACAAACAGCTCATCAACTCAACGGAGGCACACCTCAGCGCGGGAATTGCGCTAATTACACTGACAAGAGCCACGCACATCATCAACACGGACAGTGGCACAACACGACGCAACAAATACGCCCTGACCGACCACACCCTCAGAAGAACGAAAGCAAACAGTGTGCCTATATCAGGTGGAAATCATTTGTTCAATAAATCAAATTGACTCCTGTCGGCGGCGAGTAGAACACCGTATTTACTCTCAATTAGTTCAACATTAGCAAGACATTCCGCACAGCAAACAAGTTGTGGATTCATCGCAGAGAGCCACACCTAGTATAAATTTCCATTTTCTGATTGAAAACGTTTTAGACTTGGCTCCAGAATAGGCAAAAAATTAATTAAAATTATGCAAATATTCACCATACGCCCCGTTGGGCGACAATCTTTTTGAGCTGCTGCAAATGGGGAGCTTGAATGGGAGAGAAGCTATAGCAAACCGTATAGCATATGGCTAGGAATTTAGTACAACTGATAACTGACTAAGGACATTATTATGATATGCAGTAATCTTGGTTAAAGGCACCTACCATTTACCCAAATGAACAACGACTTTACACTTAAGATCGTAAATCGTTCCCTGCAGAGCATCTCTTAGTCTCAATTGCCTCTCATTCACACGACCATGAGTACGGCTGGCTGTTTGGTTTAATTGCCTGTCTAGAGAAGCAACAACAATGGCCCGGGCGGAACACAAACACTGGCTGGGACTTATTTGCATTTTACATTAGGCTGAGGCGGCTGAAAGCGGCTTTGTAGAGCTTAGCATGTCCTGACAGGACCTAGCCCATCTCCCCCGTTTATTGGGGCGTAGGCCACGCATGAGCTGACATCTTTATTCGCAATTTATACGCGTATCCTGCCGGGCCTATCCTCAATTGCCAGGTAATTGCGTCTGGGCGTGGCCCCGTCGTCGGCGGGTCCATAAAGATAGGGAATTAACATCGTCATCAGCATTTCCTAATTAGTTGACAGGCCACAAAAAATCCGAGTTGAGCAAACTCGGCAGCGCTGGCTCGGCCATTTGCGGATTTATGTTTTCAATTTATTTTCAGTTGCAGCTAAAAGGAAGCTCGTAAAACGTCGAGGAGAGGCGCGGATTGGGGAGGGTAAGTGTGGAATGCAGTCTACGTGTTTGTAATATGAAATACATTTTTTGTTTGCCCAAAATTCGGAGGCTGTTTTATGGTTGATTTGGGTTCCGCCCCGATTTTCTTTGGTTCGTTTTTATGCTTTGAGTGTTCTCCTGCTGCTCTTTTTTATGCCTCTGCGGCGGAATATCAAGAAGTTGTAGAGACAGATACAGAAAGAGAAATGTTGCGAAAGCTTAGTACTTATAGTAAGGTCAATCCCAAGGACACAGAGGACTGGGAATGTCTGGCAAATATTTACAGAAAACCACTCAAGAAATGGAAAATTCGCAAGAAGTTTTAGAACTTCAGCAGCAACAGCAGGAGAAACCCACAGAAATGTATCGCAAATTTGCGTACATTATTTTCCTTGGAATCCTCCTTGAGATTGCTTCGAACTAAGCCACATCAAAGGCATTCATTCATCAAGTACTAATTAGCCGAGGAAGCCCGTAATTGAGAACCATGAAAATTCTCAGCAGCAAAAGGAAATCGTTTCTTCGGATGCCATTAAAATATACGAAGGTATGGAGACAAAATGTAATTTTGGCATATTAAAAGCCACATCAGTACCAAGAAAAACACTCACAAGGAACTCTGGAGCAACAGCAGGAAAATTGGTAAGCAATAATCATAATTTGTGGCATTAACGGGGCGGAAGTTTGTACGTTTTCCCCAATAAAACCCAACCCGGACCAGCGTTGATAAAGTGTCGCTAAACAATTTATCAGCACCACCACCCCGCCCAGGGGAACTGGGCAGGGGCAGGGGTAGGGGCAGGGGCAGGGGCATGGGTGGTTAGCGGTGTGGAAATGGCAACCAAACAAACCTCTCCGCCACCGCCGCGAGCACTGCACCTGCCGCAGGGGAAAACGCGTTGCGGTAATTTATGAGTCATTCTCTGGGAACGCTGTGCGCTTTTTCATATTTTCATTATATCAGCAAAAAGCAAATAAACCGCAAAAAACTTATGAAAAAGAAAAAAGAAAATTGTTTGCGGTTCAGTCTCCCTCGTTTCGAGATTTGCAAATGGCACTAACAGAACTTTTCACTCTTCTGAAGCGAGAAACAAGTTTTTGAATTTATTCTGGGTTATTTTTAACTAAGTAAACGAATAAATTTGAAATGGTTTTAGTTCTCTCAAGGAATATCCACAAGGATTGCCATAAATTAAAGTAAATTAAATTACACCCATAGAATTCCCAATTGGGTGTCTGCTAAACAAGATCCACTTATGTTAACGTATGCTCATTTTATTATATTATACTACACCTTATTCTCTCTGTTCTTTCCTCGCTGACCACATTAAAAGCTTCTTTCCTTCACAGCCATGCACAGCCATAATCTCGAATGGCGCCCAGAAAAGTATGCTATGGAATATGTATTATGATGTTGGGTATATCGCCAGCCATAAAATTATATTCGGGCCACGATTATTAGATAACATAAACGGGAACATGAACTGCGATAATGTGCATTAGGAGAATCTTGGATCCTGGCCTTTGGCCGAGCCTCGCCTCAAGCCAAAAACGTGGGCCCATCAACGTGGCTGCTACTTAACTAAGTTAAGAATCTCACACAAATTTGCCATTGGCACATCAAATTCTGGCGTATGTAGTGGAGTGTAATGGAGTGCAGTGTATACAGTATACAGCATACACATACGTATACGTGTATGCTTTTTATATGCGTGTATAGTGGAACAATTTATATTTGCGACACCATTAAGCAGGGGGCGGCAAACTGTGATAGAGATGTGCTCACAGCATGTTGATCTAATAAAAAATAATGAATCCCCGGAACAAGGGATTTCGTTCAATGCTCACACACACAGCACACAAGCACACACACAGAGAGAATGTTGAATAGGTTTAGTTATGAATGTATTGCGTATTGAGGATTAGTGAAGGAAGCGAAATTGAAAGCGCCCCAGCCTTACCTTCGTCCTCGTCGTCGTCGAGTTCCGTGATTGCCGCCTTATCGAAGGGACGATCAATGCCATTTGTTGCTTCGGATGAGGCGCCTCCTCCACCGCCGCCGCCGACGTTCGGCGCCTTGGCATCGCCATTGGAGGTAATTGAATTTGATTTGGCGTGATTTGTATGATTGTTTGAGGACTTTGCGGAGGACTGAAGACCTTCGCTCTCCATTTGCGGAGCACTCGGCTCCGGCTCCCCGTTGCTGACCGCGTCGATGGCGGCGCCATCCTTCGTCTTCAGCTCCTGGCTGGTGTTGCAGCCCATTATATTTGATTTGATTTTAAGTCACTTGTATTGGTGGGGTGGTCTCTATAATTCCAGTTGGCCTAGGTTACCAAATGCCTTTTGTTTAATCAATCGCTCACACAAGCGCGCACTCAGACTCACACTCACACTCACTCGCAGTCGCACTCTCACACACACAGGGGAAACAACTTATTAAGCTTTACTTGTTGTTTGTATTTCTATACTTTTGTATTTTTTGTGTATTTTTTGTTTATTTATTGGGCAATTTGCACTGTAACGTTCACGAGTAGAAACCTTTTCGCATAAAGTTGTTAGAAAAATATGGTGTGGATATTTCCAAATTTACTTTCAATATTTTGAATGTCTATAAAAACAGTTAGAAAAAGGTGCACAACCACAGATTACCAGCCAGGGACTTCCAACGGAAACGGAAACCAGACTCGCTCACAGACTCGCTGACTGACTCACTGACTGTCTCTGGCACAAGCTCAGGCACGACTGACAAAGGCCAGCGACGCTTCAACACTAAGAGTGGCCAGGACCCCCAGCGCCTGCCATCCTGCAGGAGCTGAGCAGGAGCAGCAGCAGCCGCAACTCCGAGCTCAACAATTGCTTCCCGGCAGTCGACGACACACAAAACCAGGCGAGAGAGAGAGAGAGCGTGCCCGAGAGAGAGCGAAGCTCTCTCTCTCACAGTGCTGACAGTGAGCAGAGCTTATCGAAAAAAGGTGTGAAATATTCAATGGGAGTGGAAATCTTAGAGACACTTTGTAATTACTATGTATATCTTTGATTTAAATATATTTCATGATTAAAATAAGTGTATTTCATATTTGTTTGTTGGTGGGCGGATCGGAGCAGCTGGTATCCAGCGACGAATCGAAAGATGTGTTCAAATGAAAACGGCAGGGTGTAGTGGTTATCAGGCACGACGGCATGACGCGGCAGCTTGGAGCGGGGGTGGAATTGAAATTGATTCTAACTTACCTGCTAAGAAAACGGTGATCGTAACGGATCGTAAAAGCGCCCAGAGCCGAGAGAACGAGAGCGAGGCAGAGGTAGATGTAACAGGCTGTTAACTGAGCGCGGTGCCCAGCAGCAATAACAAGCTGTTAGCATGGGCCCTGTTACAGCTGTTACCCTGAACAAACCGAGAGCGAGGCAGAGGGCGACTGTTAACTGACTGTTAAATGAGCGCGGTATCTAGCAGCAATAACAAGGTGTTAGCATGGGCCCTGTTACAGCTGTTACAGCTGAACAAACCGAGAGCGAGGCAGAGGGCTATGTAACAGGCTGAGCTGTTAACTGAGCGCGGTGCCCAGCAGCAATAACAGGCTGTTAGCCTCGGGTGCTAACAGCGCGGTTGCCCTGTTACAGCTGCTACCCTGAACAATATGTTTTTTATATTCAGAGTGAATATGTTTCGATTAAAATATTCAAATAACTTATAAGAAAATTAATTTAAATGTGTGTATGTTTGTATCTATAAACCGAATACTTAATTTAAATATGATTTTGTTTCTTGCTGTGTAAAAATAGAGTCGTTGCCAATTTGTATTCGTTGGAAGGTAAGGAATTCCAATGCAATGTTATATTGTATATGTACTGTTGTTCCTGCTTCAGTTTTCGCCTTCCATCCAACCACTGTGCGGGCTAAAAAATAACCAAATCTGAGAGCAGGCGAGAGAGCTAAAGAGAGCATGCTCTGAGTGCTGCTTTAGCTGCAAACTTTTTCGCAAATAAACAAACCGACAACCAAAGCCGACAGTCGACAGGGGCACACACACACACACACACACACAAACAAAATCATACACCCAGAAACCCCTAAGAGTGGGCCACAAAACCTCTTGCGGCAGCAACAGAATCCGAAGAGCAACAGCAGCCGGGCATTGTCAAAGGCAGTGGCATCATCAGCATGGAAGCTACGGTCACACTCCCACTCGGGCAGGCCCAGACAGTTACGTGCCTCGCGTGTAGCCAGCCGTGAACAGCCGAATGGTTGAATGGCAGAAGGAAGGACCCTGGCAAATACAATGCCACAAAGGGGCAACCTCATCCATAAAGATATCAATGAATACGTTCTTGTGTTGCTTCTTGGCATCTCATTTGGCCAGATAGCAATTCATAAAACTAACTGTTTTCCCCTACCTCTGCTCCATCTCCTCCCCTCCTCCCTCGGCTGTCACTAGGGGTCTTCTTCCCTCTTTTCTGGGCTGCTGTGTGTTTATTTTTGGCTGCGTCTGTTTTGGCTTTTAGGAAGCTGCCTCTTCGACTCCAATCTTACACAGAAATGCTGGCTTTCTGTCTCTCTGTCTGTCTGCCTGAGTGTTTCTGGGGAACTAGCAAATGAATTGGTAGCCTGTATTGTGGTTGGTTTCTTTCCATCCCTCTCTGTGCATCACCATCTCTCTATCCACCTCCCTATCCTCCATTTCTCCATCTCCATCTATATACGAGTATTTCCCTATCCCAGGCCTCCTTTATGGCTGCTCTAAGCACACAGGGTGCCGTGGTAATAAAGGAAAGTGCGTTCCGGCTAGTTGAAATAGAGGCCCACGAAAACTCGTATGTAGAATAGTAAAGAGAGAGAGAGAGAGAAGGTATCCCCCGTCATGCGTAATTTTAATCAAAAATGGAGGCCCATACGAGTATGCAAATGGTCTTTTAAATAAGAAATGCGGTACAAATTTAATCCGAAATTCAGCGGAGAACACCCTGTATGGAAATGGAAATATTTGCCAATTACAGCTGCATTCTTTAAAGTGCAAAATATATTTAACAACAAACTAACTACGAATGAACAAAAAACAAATGTAAATAAATCCCTTAATATGAATTAAAATACATGAAACAGTAAGGATGGGTAAAAAGTTAATATAATCTTTTTTTACAAACTGCAAATATGGTAAATGCTTTAAAGTTGCCCAGATTTCACAGCAGACAAAGTGGAAACCCCTTTGGAATACTTGTAGTAATCCTCTTTTAATCTTCCTTTCATCTGCCCTAACTATCCAAAGCCAGAGCCTAGACAAAAAGGCCAACAATTAAGTGTGAAGAGGCAGGAAACAGCTGCGGTTCTCTTATCCTCTGCTGCACTCAGACGAGCGGCTGCAACAACAACGATCCGAACAAGAGACGGCAGCAACTGTCGAGCTCCAACAGAACTGGGGACAGCCTTGAGAGGCGTGAATTCGCGCACCCAAAACATGTCAAGGCAGGCCCCGAAAAACATGGTGTGAAAACGCATGGGCCACAAATTCCGGCTGGCTCTTGACAACTGACTGGCAATCCCGTCGACTGTCGCCCCGCTGGGACTTGAGCATTTCCCCCATGATGGCAAAAACGCGTGCGACACATAAACCCTTTTTGGGGGGCTGATAAGATGACTGACAACTCGAGACAAGAGCGATGGATGGGCTGGCAGAGGAGGGCCCAGAAGAGGCTGGATCTCCATCCCAAAAAAGTTTGCGCATCATTTGCCGACGCAAATGCCAAGTCATTATTCTCTACAACGAATATAAATAGCTTTGTTTTTAGATAAAATTCCTGGCTTTTCGATTTTTCTCTCGCTGTGTGTCTGTGTGGAATATTACGTATACGCCCTGCCCTGAACTCTGGTACTAAACACCTAAACAGCATCGAATGGCATGGCCTGCCCTTTGCTCTGCCCATTCAACCTTCCCCTCATTTACCACCGCGGCGGCTGGCTTTGGGTCTGTTTTGCTTTATTTCTTTTTTCTTTTGGTACGAGTATGCTCCTGGGATGGCTGCCAACTGGAGAGTTTTTCACGTCCGCCTTTTTTCCTGTCCAAAGTCTGAAGTTCAACGGTGCGCAACAATTTTCAGGTGTACTAGAAGAACTCACAATAAATTTAAAATGAACATTTAAGAGACTCAACTTTAAGATAAACTACAAAGATATTCTACGAATTTCTATGCTATTGGAATTATTTGTCCTGATTCCTATGTAGACTATCTGCTCCGAGCCTTGTCAACAATGTTATTTATCTCTTGGCAATGCTCGGCTTCCACTGTCTCCCATTTCCTTCAGAATTTGATTATTATTTGTCTTTGTGCTTCATTTATTGGACAACACTGACCCGTGCTGTCCTGTCCTCCCTGTCCTATCCAGGCCGGTGGCAATTTATACGCATTGCTGCCTCATTAGTTATATGACTTTTCACCTTTGACCAAATCCTCGGCACATACTCGTATCTAGCTCCCTCATATCTGATTCCTATTCGCTTCTGTCACCATCATTTGTTGTCGACTTCATCTGCCCCGTCGGACTACAGCGAAACTCGCTAAGGATAATTGAATTAGTCGTGGCATGATACATGTACGGGTATTTGGTGAACGTTTTCTGTGGTATGCCAATTAATCATACGCCCTGCTGGACGGGAGAGTCGAAAAAGGCGCTGAAGTGAAATATTCGTTGTGTGTGATTTAATTACTGATGGAAAACCATTTCAGTTAGGGCGCGTTTCCACTCGAATTCGTTTGGCTTTAGGAAAGTGTTGCATATTGCATGGATATCCCATATCTGCAATTCCTAGCCGGCGCCTGTCGCTCTGGCTGGCTGCATGCCAAGCCAATATTAACCGGCAATATGAGCAGACAATAGATGGCTAAGGGGATAAGGGCTATATCTCTGTGTCTGGGAGGGATGCGGATGGGGTTAGAGCGTGAGGGGGCGTGACAGACAGGCAGACAGGCAGACAAGCGGCAAACCAAAAAATGACAGTTCGTATGTCAGAAGTGCTCACTGTTGACTTTAAAATCACATTCAAGAGTTCTCTCCTCTGGCATAGACAACCGCACACACATACACATGCATATTGCCAGTTCAATTACACGACTGGGGCGTTGCATGCCACCGACGGCAGACTGCCACACCTCCTCCGGCCAGATCCCCGGCCAGACTGTAGCTGTAGCTTTAGCTGGTCACCCCCACACACATGTTTATTGAAAGGTTACATGAATGACACACACGCCACAGAAATCGAGGCAGAATCTGAAGCACCCAACCACACAGACAACGACATCGACCCGGGGGCAGGCCGTTTGCATTGGCTGCCTGCCTGCCAGCCTGCCTGAATGAATCCTTTTGGATTCGTTATTTCCCCGCCGGTATTCAATGCATTAAGTGAATGTACATATCTGCATACAGTCGCGCACATACGTACATATGTGATGTGACATGACAATGGGCATGCATTTAGGTGCACGAACCTTTCGGAGGCGAGCATCGCATCGAGCAACGAGCAACGAGCATCGAGCAGCCTGCTTCCAATTGCAACAGACGCCGCTGTCTGGCAGCTCGTTACGTGCCGTCACGATATTCCCCCCCATTTCGGGTTACCCTCTTAAAGAGCTTCCACCCATTTCAATGACTTTAAAATATATATACATACATATGAACTTATTGTTAAATATCCGCAACTCAAAAATAGGTTTTTTTTTAAATATTTGTTTTTATTTAACCAGCTTTAATTGGTTACAGGTTGTATTTTATGTATATAAGTTGAACACGTAATGTGTGTGGGTAAGCGGGGAATTATGGATATGTCACTCCTTCTGGTGATATTCTTCTTCTCTTGGTTTTTTATATTTGACGACTATGTTTTTAGGTATTTTCTTAAATTTAACGACTATATAACCTATTATTCCTATTACGCATATAATGACAAATATTATTATTACTATCTGAAATAGACTATAATATTTTGTATGTTCTATAATTATGTCTTTTGCCTGTAAATAGGACAATGGTTCGAGTCTAGTTATATTTGTATATAATTTGTTTTGTAAAGTCCAGCATTGAATTGGTTATAGAAAATTCGTTCAATTGTAATGAACAATTGAATATTTTAATGAGGTTATTTCCCTTTACAACGATTTTTTTATCTACAAAATTTTGATGTAATGTGGTCCTAGGAAGTTTCCATGTCAGCAATGTGTTGGGTTTGACATTTATTTGGAAATTGTTGTATGTTTTTGTATATGGGCATTTTGTGGGTTTTTGCTTTAAGATCCCCTTTAAACAGTCGTCTCTTATTATTTCTTTCGTTTCTTGTCTGTATATCTCATCTTTATAAATATAATATTTATCAAATGTTATTTCAGTTAGGATATTGCTTTGTTCATCCGGATGGGGAACTATTTTATATACGGGGACTTCAGCACTTTCGTTTGGAATGTTGGAGATTATAATAATCTCATTAGTGGCTGTTTTTAGCCACGTGGATGTTTTAATATTGAATAGTTTCTCAGAATTAACGTTGCTTAGGGAATCTTGTTTCAGCAATTTTGGATTAAATATACCAAGTCTAGTTAGTTGCATCCCCATCTCTACGTCCTCTATACATTCTGTGAAATGTTGCAGATTAAATATTAAAATATCTCTTTTTTGATTTATATTTGTCGCCTCGTTCAATTTGTTAATGATCTGCATGCCTTTATTTACTGCATCTATTACTAAGTTTAGTTCATTTGTTGGAACACCATAGCTTGAAAAGTTGTTAGTTTTTTGTTCTAATTCTTAATGTTCCGAACAAATATTTGAATGCGGTTCCTGCTACATCTATTAGTCCTCTTTTATTACATTTGACTATTTTCAGCCCATTTATTTCCCTTTGGAGTTTTTCTACTAAATATTGTAGTTCAATTTCGTTTTTAAATACATCAGCTTTCTCTATTAAATTTGTATAGATTTCTTCTGTTTTGGTTAAATTAATTATGAGGGAGTGATATTCATATTTAATGGGTATATATATTGTTCCTGTTTTGAATATGAGTTATCCGTTTGTGTCTTTGATGGGGTTTATTTCGATGTTTTGTCTTTTTGCAATAAGAATCGTGAACTTTAGAAAGATGATGGTCCTGGAACCGTTACGGTTTATTTTTTCCATCGTTTTCTGCGGGTTCTCTGGAATTATTATATTTGCTAAACTTAGTCTCTTTCTTTTTTGATTCAAGTGGATTTCACTGAGCGAGGATGCTGGTAATGCCATTTTGTTAATTTATTTTTTTCTGCTTCGGTTTCCTGTTTTACAGCTTCAGTTTTTCTGTTTTACTTAAGTAAATGGTTTTGTTTTTCTAGTGCCACGATGCACATAGATTCTTTGGCTGATTCTGTTATTTTTCTAACTATTACGGATTACGGGGTTTTGGCCATCAGTTGTTTATTCCAGTGCGAAACTGATTCTCGATTGTCGAGTGATTCCAGAGGGTGGGAATCAATTTTTTATCCTAATTTAAACAATTCTTGAATGTGGGGTTATTGTTGGTTGGAGTCATTTGCTTTTAAGAGTCGGGGATCGTGTTTCTTATAGCTAGGTGGGAATTATGGATATGTCACTATGTCGCTGAATGTCGTTTTTGGGCACGCTTTTCCGTTTATTGATTTGCTTGATGGATGATTTTTGGGAAATTGATTAATGTTAGCTCTTTGAAAACTTGGCAAAGATTTGAGGCTCCTTCGGTAGTGAATCACATGCGAAATTTGAAAGAGGAAAGCCTCAAATTTAATGGGTTAATCAAAGACGTGACTCAATACAATTTGTGTTCTCCAGAGTCCGGACTCAGCAATCACTTATATCTCCCCTAAAAGGCCTAAGCCAAGTCCCAATACATTAAAAATGTATTACAAACTCAATTCTACAAGCAGACATATTATTTTAGCGTTATGGCCATCGATAAACATATTTTATAAACAGTTTAACGAGCGTCAATAAAAGAGTCGAACCCACAAGAACAAGGAGCTTTGCCGCCATAAATCCGAATGTTTCGGGTTTTTACGGGTTGTATGTCGACACCTTCAACGGACAACCCCATTCACACCCAAAAGACGTGACCTGGAGGCGCTTTTAATTAACAATTACGTACAACAAGAGAGGCAAGCCCCGGGCACACGTGTCCCGGACAGGGAGTGGGTACGGAAGGGTGGAGCGTATCTGAAATTAAGATAATAGCTAGAAAATTACAAAGAACACTCACTGGGGACCCAGAACAACTAAGGCCCCAATCGAAATCAAAAAGAATGGGAACCATTCCGGGGGAACCCCTAGAGCACACCCATCGGGGCTACAAAATCCACAACACCAACAAACAAGACTTCGGGCGCACCCCTGGCGCATGACGCAGTCTGAAGCCATCTTTTCAACTGAAAACCAACGACATGCATTTTAATTACGTTGTTTTTTGCACCTTAACGTGTTGAAATACCATAAAAGGCAACACCAATACCAACAAGAACACATAGTGGCCAAAAAGGAACAACAGCAGAGCCAGGAAAAGCTTCTCAAAACCAAACTGGAAACAGGTCAGAGGCAGAGGAAAGACCAAAGAAACGTGGATGCCCTTTCAAGAAATTCAAGACTTTTAACGAATTTTCTAGACACATGTTTGTATGCTGAAAATATTCTTAAGTATGGATCGCGATGATCTGGACTGAGTATTCATTGGAGTCCTTTTCGGAAGAAGACTCTTTCGATCACAAGATCACCCACAGATCGTTCGAGAAATAATTTATAGCATTATAGCAAGGGAAACATTCTAATTTAGAGTTTCGCAAGAGCATTCCATGCCGGACTTTGGTAAACTACCCCGAGACCTGTGCAGCAATTAAAAGTAGCAGCTATTCGGCTCAAATTCCTGGGGCTAAAGGTGTGGAAAAGCCAACGCCAGCACCTGCTCCCGTCCCCGTGTGTGTGTGGGTGCGTGTTCATTTTCCCTCTGCTGTTTGTCTAGTTCCGGGCTGCCGCGGTGTTGGGTCAACTTTGGTCAGTGAAATACAGCGGGACGATAATTTGGGGTGGGTGGCAGTAAAGTGAGCATTGACATGCAAATTTCCATTTAGAGGAAAAGCTTTTTGACTGCACGAAGTGCCCAAACAGGGAATGGATGGACTCACATTAGGTAGTTGCAGAACATATGTAGACCAGGCCATGTGAAGGTCAGAGTTCAGTTGTGTGCGCAGCTGATGCAGCTGAAGTTTATTCCCAGTTGAAAGCAACTCAATTACATTGTGTTCCGGGGCTTAGGGGCGTTGGTTGGTGGCTCCAGGCCACAGCCCAGCGTGTGGTGTGTCCCTGATGAAACTCCGTGGTGGTAACGTTGGTAATCTGACGTTCCTTCAGGTAGTCCAGGATCTTGGGCACGCTGGCCTTAACACCCAGCATGCTGGTGAAGATGCTGCAAATGTCAACGTAAATTTAATTTAAGCCACTTAGCTCTAATCAAGATTGACTCACAGCACGCGCTGCTTGTTAAGCTGGCTCTCCTCGATGATGCGCTGAACGAAGTGCACCTCGCCCCCCTCACAAGTCAGCTCCTCGGCGCTGCCAGTGCGCACGTTGTTGGGCGCCGGCCGTCTCTGGGGATTGCGCGTGTTGCCCCCGAACGGATTGGGGGAGTTTGAGTCAAAGAATGGTGGGTTACAGAGGCAGAAGTGAAATTCCTTCCTCAGTTTCTCCGTCTCAAAGTAGCTCTTGAAGATGTTGGACTTGTCTGGCTGGGCATAGACTTCAATAAGTTCTTCCAGGTTGTTTCGCCTGACATTCTTCCGGGCATAGTCAATGTTTTCTTCCTTCGACTCTAGGGCCAGCATGTTCCAGCCGTTCTTTTTGGCGCCAAGCAACGAGTAAATGCAAGAGGAGCCACAACCTGCAGGACGGTATTAATTAATGCATTGCTAACAAAATGAGGAGTGAAATACTTGCCAACATCAATGCCCCTCACAGTCTCCAAGTTAAGCGGCAGCAGCATATCCTCCAGCCAGAGGATATAGTTCAAACGCAGGGCCAATGTGGGCACCAAGCTGCCGGGTGCAAAATCCACATCTAATTTAAAATATTCTTTCAGCAGCATCTTGGACAGTTCGCGTAAGGTCTTCTCATTGCGAAAATTAACCGAGACTTTGCCTGTAAGCTCCTGTTTAGAAGGATTGTATTAAACTGCTGCTTCCAGACAATGTCAAGTAGATTTCACTTACCAATTCACAGACTTGTCTGAAGTCCCTGTATTTGATGGCCAACTTGGTGTAGTCGGGCGGCACGCGCAGAATATTGCGCGGATGCATGGCATACTTGTTCATTTTATTTCTGACCATTTCAATTTTTTTGGTTTGTTAATTTGTGAAATGCCGCGAAGTTGAACAGATGATTAGCTTAACAGTCTGGCAGCGCTCTGATGGAATCAGTTTCAATTGCTTATCGAACTGGTTCATTCTATCGAATAGATGATTATCGATATCGAACTTGACATCTGGTAAGGTTCGGCAATGAGCCCCAATCCATGCACAATGTTGCGAACAACATTAATTTGTAAAACGGTTTTAACTCAAAATACAATACATGCGAGTACTTAGAAGTAGTTCATCTAGTAGGAAATTTATTCAATGTGGGCAAAGCTGAGAGTATTTTTACGGCATATTTGGAAAATTAAACGGTATATTTTTTTGTATATTTCTAAGGGTCGGACGGTATATTATATCGTTAAATCCTCATCCCTAGCATTGTTGATTTTTTGCCGAAACACGCTTCAATCGGGGAAATTAGTTTTAATTTTTAAAATATAATATATAACGCTTAATACCTACAACTCCAAATACTAGTCAACATTAAGTACGATATCCGCGCGTGTTCATCTACACAGGCAACAACCCACAGGTAAGTCAGCTGATGGATTACATTTGGAGACAATTCGCTTACATAATTTTGGGCCGGAACTTTTGTTTTCTCCCGTTAGAATTCGCATGCAATTGTCACAATGACATCATTGTTCGATTTTTAGAGCCCCTCACACTATGCACACTTTTTTGTGTTTTCGGTTGCACTATTTCGGTTGTCAATTGCATCAGCTTTGGGGGAATGAAATCTTAAATGCCACTGCACCATCGACATGCCAGCAGATTAGTGGGCAGCAGCAAATATGTGACACCGGCCAGAAACACAACAGTTCGCTTTTGAATTAGAATTTATGTTTTATTATTCAGTTTGGGATATCATTATCATGAATCTTACTAAACATGTTAGAAATACTTTCATTTGTGGATTAGACGGACTACATCTCTATAGATCTAGATCTCTTCGTTCCCTTTGAGAATTCCACTTACGAGTAATTACCTAATTGAATTGGTTACATTTCGAAAATGGCTTCTATTCCTTTTATTATTTTCTGTGTTATTTTTAGGCAAAACTATTTAGTGCAGGTGCCCCATTCGTTTTAAATTAGTGATTTTTTCCCTTTCTATTCATGTTAAAGTTAACTTAAAGCTGCTTATTGTTTGCAGAGCTCCTGCTCCTCATCTTCTCTGCTTTTTTACGCATTTCAATCACAAAACATTTACATAGTATTAACAGTGAGAAACAAATACAGAGACATTAGATTAGAAATTGATCAACATTTATACGAAAATATATATCATGTAGGTGTGTAGACTTATCGTTGAGAGTGTACTTAAATGCGGCATTTAGCTTTTACAATTATTCATTTAATATAAACAAATCTCCTGTTCCCTGCTGCTTCCCCTCTTCCTCCGCCTATTCCTATTCCTATTCCAGGGAGCGCCTGCGTAGCTGACGGCGCACTCCGACAATGGCAGCATTGCTGCGGTCCAGGAGCTCGTTTGAGAGACGCGCCAGCAGCGGCAGCTCCCGCATGGACACATTTACCGAGGGCAAGGGGGCCAGCTGCTGTTGCAGCTTCTTGATGGGCGTCGGCGGCTCCTGCTGGTGATGCTGGGGTGTGACTGGCAAGCTGGTTGTGTTTGTGATCTTCACCACAACATCGCAGTGGCGTTCAAGGGCCTCGGCTCCAAGGGAGTCGGGCCTCTGTTCGGTTGATTTCAACCTTTCGGTTTGCTGCCGCTTGGCTGACTCCTTGAGCATCATTAGATGATCCAGTTTATCCACCGTGGCCTTCAATTCGTGCTCCCAGACATCGTTCTGCTGCTGACCATCCCCGCCCTCGATGGGGCGCACTGCGAGGATTTTCACCTTCTGACGCAGGGCCTCCAGATCGCCTTCGTCGACCGCGCCTCGAAACTCTCTAGCCCCCGTCTCATCGTAGTCGCAGGCATCCTCCTCGTCCTCAGTTTCCGCTGTGTTTGCTGGCTGTTTTACCGCCAATGACATTTGACTGCCGGCTATAGAGGGATAGTCGCATTTCTCCAGCTCCATCTGAAAGTCCGGCAGCGAAGGCAAAGCACTGGACGTGGGCGTGTTCAGCTCGGCACCGACGCCCGGCTCGCGGGGTCCTGGCGGTGTGGGATAATCCCCGCGCTGCCTATGTATATCCTCGCTAATCCTCTCCAGGTTTCGCAAAGCCGTGGAATAAGTGCTCTTTGCCCCAGCCACCTGCTGTTGCAGCTCTTGAATTCGATTCTTTTGGGTCTGGAGTTGATCCTGGCAGACTTGCTTCTCCTCGAAGTAGGGTCGCGACTTGTTGATGCTCCTCCTGAAGCGGTCCTCCAGCTGCTGCAACTTCTGCTCGGCCGTGTGGAAGAGACGCGTCCGTCTCTGGTGCTCGGCATGGCAGTCGGCCTTTTGGGTCTCGGCATCCATCACCTTTTGGGTGGCATGGTTCAGCATCTCCTGCCAGGCGTTGTCGAACTGCCATTCGTGTGAGTTGGACATGAAACGTTGCTCGGCCAGCGCCACCGTTTCCTTGGCCGCGGCATGAATTTCTTGAATGGGGAAAATCGAGAGTTTATGGGTTACTCGGATAATTCAAAGCGTGTGTTCATTGGCTCACCATTGGCTCGTTGGAATTTAACCGCTGCCTGCTGGCATTGGATTTGTGCCTCGCGTGCCTTCTCCAGAGCTTCATGGTAGGGACGGGCCTTCTCTATGCAGCTGCCCAGCTTCTTGGATGAAAGCTTCAGGCGCCGTGTGGACTCGTTCAACAGAATCCGAAAGGTGGAATTGGCCTCCTGTGGGCGGCAAAACATGAGTAAAAGCAGCTTCAAGCCATTTAGCCCGTCTCCACTTACCTCTAACTCGATCTCCAGCTTGTTTATCTCATCCGTAGCACTATTGAGATTCTCCAATTCAATCTGTGGAGAGAACAGAAAATGAACATTTAATGAATGCCTTTGTTTTTCGTTCATTTCCAGTAATTGCTAATCTCCTGCCCTTGGACCACCTCAAAGATGCCTCAATCGAAACACCGCGGCGGGGCCGCGTCCTCCAAGGATTCTAAATACGATCTGGGTAAAATTTCCGCTCGCGTTGATCGCGTTCATGTCAGCGGGCTGCTGCGGACCCACAACGACTATGTGATGAGGGCGGCGGACGGACTCTTCAAGGCGGACAACTTCCAGGACGTCATGCTGGAGGCCATGTCGACCAAGGCGTACCTGCACGAGCTGGGCATCTTCAAGGATGTGAGCGTGCACATCGACGTCAGTCGCGGGGCAGATGCCTCGCCCCAGGGCTATGAAGTCACCTTCAAGGGCAACGAGTACTCCCGCATGATGGGCTCCGCCGGAACGGAGGTGGGCCAGAACGAGGGCTCCCTACGCACAGAGCTGACCGTCCCGAACATCCTGGGCCGTGGCGAGAGCATCTCCCTGCAGGGCAGCTACAGCAACACCAGGGCCAATGATCTGCAACTCAAGTTCTGGAAGCCCTTCTTTCACACCCGCTTTCGCGAGAATCGACCCGAGTAAGGACCCGACTCGACAAAGTCTCCTCTGGGCAGTAAATTTACTAAGAAATCCTTTCAATCTTTACAGATTCTCGTTCAGCATATTCAGGCAAACGGATCGCTTCGACATTAGCTCATTTCAATCCACAAATGTGGGCTACTTGATTGACTTCTCGGCCCACAGCAGCCTGGGAGTGGATGTAAGTGCGCAAAGAACTCTCTCGAGTGCCAACTTAACTATCTGTGTATTTCCCTAGCTAACTCACTCGCTGCAGTACGAGAACTCGATCAGAAACGTGGGTTTGCTGAACAAATCCGTGCCATTTGGCATTCGGGAGCATTGTGGGCCCAAACTGGCCTCACTGGTGCGCTACTCCGTGGTCTTTGACAATCGGGATGCCAATGTCTTTGCCACGCGGGGTATTCTACTGAAATCCACCAACGAGTACTGCGGTCTGGGTGGCAACGTCGCCTACACCAGCAGCACAGCCCACGGAGAGGTGAATGTGCCGCTCTTCTCTGGATTTGTGGCGCAGTTCTGTGGACGCGTGGGCATCGTCAAGGAGACCAAACAGACCACCTTGTTGCCCATCAGTTCGCTCTTCTATTGCGGCGGACCCATGACATTGCGAGGATTCAAATACGGCGGAGCTGGACCCGTGGTAGACGGCACACCGATTGGGGCGCAGACCTACTGGTGCACGGGGGCGCATCTGTGGGCGCCGCTGCCTTTTGCCGGCGTCTTCAAGAGCCTGGCCAGCAACTTTAGAACGCATTTCTTCTACAACATTGGAAACACCAATACTTTTAGCTTAGGTAAGCAAAGCCTGCCCGGCTGATCCGGTGTCCCATCTTTTCACGGCTTTCCCTTTGCAGAGAATATGCGTAGCGCCTTTGGCATGGGTCTGGCCTTCAAGTTCGCCGATCGGGCACGCATCGAAATCAACTACTGCATCCCAGTGCGTCGCCAGGCCACCGACAAGGTGCTCAATGGCTTCCAGTTTGGCATCGGCTACGAGTTCATCTAGAAAATGTGTTCCTTCGACAAATCCATTGACTGGATATGTAGTGTCCCCCCCTCGCAACAGCAGAGAGCCCATGAGAATCCCCCAAAATCCCACAAAATGTAGCTTGTCTTGTCTTTCGAGAAGATTTATCCTGTTCTGTATTTTTTGTCAATGCATTTTTCCTCCTAAAACAAATTTATTTGTAGTCCAGCAAACATTTAAGTAGTTCCTAAGGCGCGTGTGTACATACTTAATAGCGAAACGAGAAACGAAGAATATACAAAAATGTTTCAAGAATTTGGAAAAGCAAAAAAATTTTGTGAATGTGGGTTGGTTTGATTTGTCTGTGGAGTGAAGAAGACGCTAGGACTTTGAAGTGAACGCATATTCTCCGTGGAGTGGAACCGAACTGAGGTAATGCTATAGCCCCATGAGAGAAAATGGAATTGCATTTTGAGCAGACAATTCCATCAACAAATCTAGGGGGCGAAAATCCAAATCCAATCCCTCCCGGCCCAAAGGTCACAAACACCACACCCCTCCCCCTTTTCTGTACGAAAAATCACTCTTTTCTTGACGGCTCTGAGCTGGAATTGAACTCAGGAGCTTCACACTAAAAGCAAGCCCCGAGGAGCGCCACTCAACGCTCTCCGCCACGCGAACATCGATAGAAGCCGCATCTAAAAATGGATGTTGACGAGAGAGAGAGAGAAGGGCAAAGTAATGGAATCAGTGCTGGCAATTTAGCTTATTTTCTCGGAGCTTTTAGTCGGATTCAATAACAAATAACTTTTCTCCTAAGGGAAATTTGAGTGAGGGGAAAAAGTCTGGATATATTGAATAACAAATTATATAGGAAAATGTGCCAAAATGTGTATTTTTGAAATGAATTCAGTTCGTGAAATCTAAATTTTTTTTTAAATAAGTTTTTTGAAAAGTAAGCTGAAAATACATATATTTGTTGATAGCTTGAAGAAAATTGCAGATTTATATGTTAAATGTTTTTCTTATGCATTAATAATACCAAACAATCATTAATTACTGATTATTTAAAATAAGGATAGAAAGAAAAACCACACACAGAAATTAATCTTGTTATATTATGTATACAAGTTTTTATGAAAAAAACATGTTATTGAATTAAATTTGTTACATTCCCCTCGTTTGAGGGGAACTTTAAGAAATTATGATGTTCAGTAAGAGAACGAACATAGCCATTGTTGAAAACAAACATGCGTTGCTTAAGTTTAGTGCACGTTTCACAATTTTACAGAATTCCTAGCTCTTCCATATGGCTAAAATCTACATTCACAGGCAGGGGCAGAGCCAGAGGCAGGGCATGGGATGGGGAAGCGGACATGTTCATGGATCGCTGAACTGCATGCGGTTACAGTTTGGTTTTTTATACACAAGTTTTCAGTGTAGCGTTGGACCCACACATACATTTCGTGGTCGAGAAAACGGGTTTTAATTGTAATATTTTTGGTTTTTAGGTTTGCCTCTTTTTACGGCTGCTCTTGGCTGGGCTTGTCCCAGTTTGATTTTAATCGTGTCCGTTGACCATTTCTCCACATCCCGGACACAAACATGAGCCGCTGAGAGGCCAGCGAGAGGGCAGGTCTTCTCAACGAGTCGCTCGAGTTGGCCCTGTCTCGTAATCGTGATTGATTCAAGAGCCGAGACAAGGCTTAGGGTGCCCTCCAAACGGGTTTTAGCGCCTGTAAACAAACGAAACCAGTTTGGGGTATCCGATTCGCCGCAGATGAAAGGCAGCTTGAAGCTTGAACTTTCCTGGAATTTCTGGCTTCTCCAGAAGCGAGGAGGGACTCAGGAGGAGTGAGCCAGCATTTTTGGTCTGGCATTTCCCTCGGAAGATGTAGTTTTTGGTTAATTCAAAGTTTACTTTCTCACATTTCCACATGCAATTGAAAAAGTTGAGGCAAAGACCTGGAAAAACAAAACAAAGCAAAAACCCCACAAAACAAAGCTCAATAATTAATGCTGTCGCATGCGGCGGAGGGAGGGGGCCTAGACCTTTGCAAATACATCCTATCTGGGGACCTCCCCCACTCCCCCTCTGAAGCCAATGGAGGGGAAAAAACCTTTATTACGCTGCCATTTCAATTGTAAATTTTGCCAGCCAAGGTAGCCCCGGCTGTGTATGCATTGTGGCAGAAAGAAATATTTGATTATCCACAAAAAATACAAAATAAATATTAAATGCTGAAATGACGCTGGAAAAAATGTGTACAAATATTTTCGCAACTTTATCGTCAAAAAATAAACACCCAAAACGGCAAATGGGGGAACTGGACTCAATAAATATCAATAGCATTTTCAAAAGAGCTCAATTCTTATGGCATATGGCAAATATTCCTGGAATATTACAAGCCCCTGTCGACATATTTCAGAGAACTGTACTTTAACTATTGATTTGTATCATTTTACACATCTGAAGCAAAACACAGCCGTAGTCATGTGGAACAAGGTCTATTCTGGTCTGGGCCCGAAACGTTACCAAATCACGCGATGTGCCGACGTTTTTCTTGCCTTTCGTTGTGCAATCTCGCCGGAGTGGCGTTGCCAAAGGGCAGCCCGAGGCGAAGACCGGCTTGAGTCACAGACTGAAGCGAATCATCAAATGCAAAAGGTTACAGCCAGGTTACAGCGCGTCTCTTGGCCAGAATCGGTAGATGACGTGAGTGCGGCTCGTTAGGATCCCAAACAATTTCGTCAGACAAGAAGGCGCCGGCCGCCCCCGCCGCATTGTTTAGACAACAGACAGCCCTGAGGGGAATGTAGTGTAATGACTATATTTAGGATATTTGCAAACAGACAGACAGAAAGCAATAAATAAAATGGAAGTGCGGCCACACCCATCTAGGAAATGGATAGGACTTCTCCCTCGAGGACTGTGCAAAAACAGCCTCCCCTATCCCATCCTTTCCCTTCGTTTATTAGCAATATCCTATGCAAACAGCACCCCGGCATATCGTATGATTATTATACATTAACTTATCCCTTCCCGTTTCAGTTCCACTTTCCTTTTTCCATTGCCGGCACTCCCCTCCCTGTTCCGCTCGACAGCTGCCTTTTTAGTGGCGTGATGCCGACGTCGGGGCTGACCTGACCTGACCTACATACATCCGCACTCTCTCTGTCTCTCTCTTGTCCTGTTGGTGCGACAACATTGCCAAAATGGCAATAGGAGCGTACTGTAATGGAAACCCATAAAAAATTATACATATCTACAATCGATACGACTTGCGCAGGCGACACAAAGGACATTCAACCCGTAGAAAGTACTCGAAACCAAACTGGAACAGCTCTTGGCTAAGAAAGTCGCTTTGCAAGACGCGGAGAGGTCAAAGAGGTGGTTATATAAAGCAAACGCTACAGCATTGCGTGAATGAATGTCAGGCAACTCGAAAGCCAAGCCAATTAATGTGTTTTATAATTAGTTCAAGCTCTAGTACCCCCACCGTACACTCTCCAAGCGTTATGTCAACTTTCGTGGGGGAACTTTCAGAATGCTGAAGAAGTTGGGGGGGCTGGGGAATGACCCACTTTGCATGGAACCTAAAATGTTTATACAAATTAATGTCAATTGCCGAAAAGTTCTGGTCTCTCTTCAAAGTTCAAATAAAGGCAATCGGAGTGCAATTGTGAAATATTCATTTATGAGACTTGCTGACTGATAAGATACGCCAGCGGCATTCCCCCCATTGCTGATTCGATAACACAGGAAATGGCCATTTGACTGCATAATAATAGTTGTTGTTACATACAAATGACATTAACAATTCCAATTCAAAGACAACGAGCCACAAACGAAACAAATCAAAATGTAAATGAATTCATTAAGCCTCAAAATCAGAGGAGCCACTCTTTCTCCCTCTCTCTCTCTCAGTTATGCATCATTGATGATAATTATTATGACGATGATGATGAAGGTAAAGGCCACCCCTCAGAGACAGTGCACTGCTTTCATTTAAAAGTTCAACAAACAGTGGGCGAGAGGAGAGGGTGTGGTATATTTATGCAAGTGCTTTTTTATTTCAATAAACTTCCTACAGTTGCTTCGCGTTTTTTCACACTATAAATAAACCCAAGCGACGATCGCCCCGTCTCGTCAGACGATCAGAACCGACTCTGACCGCTGGCTCTGGCAAGGGTAGCGTGGCCGAGCGGTCTAAGGCGCTGGTTTAAGGCACCAGTCTCCTCGGAGGCGTGGGTTCGAATCCCACCGCTGCCACATAGAGAATGATCTTTTTTTCCTTTTTTTTTTACAGAGAATTCTTTTACTCTATGCATTTTCAGTTTTAAGCAGAGCTTAGATTTTATACGAGTACGTTTTCAGTTCTAAAAAGAATTTAGACTTGAGTTCATTAAGAAGTTTTCTGAGTGAATTATTTCCTTCTAAAATTGAGTCGACATAACACTTAATTAAAGCCACGTTAATGACGCATGTCATTGGACATGGTTTAGTGATTCATTTTACTTAAAATCGTGTTCTCTAAATCGTGAGAAAATCAATTACTAAATTAAAGGTAGAGAGGTTTGTTTAATTTAAGATGGTGTAAATCTTTATGGTACTAAGCATTGGATCGTTTAAGAGAACTACATTTTTGGAGTCCGATTATAAAAATCTATATATTGCCGCTGACTCACTTATCGGACCCACTTTTCTGATTCATTGTCCCCCCCACCTCAGTGGTGTTCTCTAATTCCCTGACAAAAGCCCCCTGGAAGCTTATGTACGCTCACCTTTCTTGCGTAACTGACACCCATCCAAATCCAAGTATTTGGTAGTCATTTAGGCATTGAACTTTATCAGTTTGAGCAGTGGAGTGGATAAAGTTTCCTTCGCTAATCAAATTACCAGCATTATCTACTGGGACAAGGCTGTGCGATAATTATTATTTATAATTTGCTTCAAAGTTTTTCCCACCAGTTTTCTCTCCAAGATAGAGACAACTAACTCGCCTCCCCTCGCCACCATTTGTCTGTGAAAACAATTATCGTATAATCGATAAGTGCCAGATAATTATACGACCCATGACGAAGAAAGTTTTGGGCAAAGAAAACGAGCAGAAAAACTCCCCCGGCACGCAAATGATAATGCTTTCCAGAGACGTGACGCGTGTGGGATTTTGTACAGAAATAAAAACAAACGCAAATACTCGGTGTTTTGGGAGAAAAAACACAAAGAAACAGCTGTCGAGGCACACGAATTGAAGTTAAATAGACTTTGGGCCATCGCCGCCCTAATCTTTTCGTTGTCTATTCCGTTTGTCGTCACCAAGTTTCCTCTGATAAAAGAATCTGCACGCGCAAAGAACTAGCGAACAAAACCCACCTTTTCCATTGATAAATAATTGACAATAGAGAACGGCGGAGAACAGAGAAAGGAAACAAAGCTTGTCTAAAGAGGAAGTCGCACATAAAACATTGAAAAATCGTCAAAATATAATACATAGCAAAAATCAAGATGTTTTTGCGTATTTGGTAATATATTTTGTACAGATGAGAGAGCTCACACTAACCGGTTTCGCATTCCATTCGGTATGCCATAGCAAAACAAATTTTGTTTAGAGTAGAACCTTATCTCTCTCTCTCTCTCTTTCTCTGTGTGATTCTTCCATTCGAATTGTATATTTTCGCGCTCACCATATTTATAGACATTATCGAGTGTTTCAATCAAGTCACATGGCCAGAATCAATGGTAATGTTTTTACGCCGCGTGTGACGTCTCCCGCTAGGTTTTCGGGCTCCAAAAATAGACAAACGAAGGTCTATAGTGCGGATTCAATTTGATCCAAACGGGGAATATTCTCCGGCACATTCATCGCCTCCTTTAATGCCCATTAATGCCCAGCGACTAGAAATTTGCAAATTATTTCGCGCTGTTGAACAAGTAACAAAATAAATCTTAAATTATGCAAAATGCGCCGGGGGCGATACGAAGCACCGAACCAGAGACGCGACGCAGACACTTTGTATTGTGTTGTGTCGTCTCTTTTCTCGAATTGCCTCACAACGAAATGAACCCGAATCCAGAGATGTTTCGACTGTAAAACACCCAGTAACAACGAATTCATTTGAGCTTTTTGAACGTGGAAGCTGCATTTACAGCTCTCCTACTCGGATGTACCAAACAGAGCTCAAACATCATACGCCTTTCTTCTATACGAGCACAGGGTGTACAGTGCTTGCGTGTGCGCTTCGGTATTTCCATTTATTAAATTTTGCATGCAGCCACCAGGCCTCTCCCGAAAATCACCAAGAGCGATATAGAGGGAGCGAGAGGGCAATAACTGCACTTGAATCTGTTTTAGGTACCCCGAACGGAGAGGAAATTTCCCAAAGAACAAAATATAATCCCATTACCAGGAAGTTAGTGTGAGTCGAAGAGGGAGAAATGGAGGATAAAGAAACAAACTCTTGACCCTGGGGCACTTTGTGAGTGTTTGTGCGTGTGATGGAGAGTTACAATTCCTGCAGCATTTTTCACAATGAATATTAGTTTTTCGATGGGAAAGGAAACTTGCAATTTGTTAAACCGCTTGGGAAATTGATTTCTGTTGTGTGAGTGTGGCTAAAAGTCAGCAAAGCGTAAAAAAGGTTGCACGCAATAAAAAGAGCCAACGAAATGGAATGCAAAACATAACGGCGCTTTCCTGTAAAGAGTCTGTCAAAGCCAATTAAAAGAGAGCAGAGAGACACAAAGAAAGAGGGGGAGAGAACTAACAAATAGTAGGAACAACAATTGCAGCAACACACAAAAACAAAACAACGTGCCAAGGCAGCGTTTTCTATATGTGCTTAGGTACATATGTACATATATATGAATGTATATTTGAGTGAAACGCCTGGCACTGCCTGGTACGGGGCACGTGCATATTTGAGGGCCACAAGGGGTACGCAGAGAGGTGGAAGCCCCCCACTCACCTGAATTTGCGGGTCCAGCTCGCTCTCTTCAGTATTCGACATATTTGCTTTTATTTGTGCCTGCAGCCGATCCAATCGCAGGAGAATGTCAATTGAGTTAGTTTTCACTTTTTTGTCCGACACTTTTCAATTTAAATCCAGTTGCATTTGCATTTGCATTTTCACTTGCATTTCGCTCAACTTGATCTTGTTGTTTGCCCCTCACACTCTCCTTCGTCAAGCAAATTGTTAATTTTCCTCAAAGCGCTCGAGTCTGCATGGGTGTGTGTGTGCTGGTGATTTGTTGTCAATATTATGTAAATAGGCCTGCGGCTGGCTCTATTGCTGTTTAACTCGCCAATTTTGTTAAAAGAAAAAAATATTAAAGCATTTTCTCTGCCGTCTTTGACGCCACCAACCAAAACAGTCACAGGGGACGCGCGGGGCTTCTATCAACTTTTGACTACTTTAAACATGGACAAATTACACGTAAACATAAATCAAACTGCTGGTCCACCTTTTGCCCCGAATATAATATATTTATGTAGTTGTTTTTAATTACTAATCTACCCTAGGAGGAGGAAGTGAGACGAGACGCGTCCGACCGCGGCGGTACAAATTCTAACAATACAATATTTACAAAAACAGCAGAACTACACGGTAACTACACATTGGCTACATAATGGGATGAAAAAGAGGGTAAGGACAACAGGCAAAACGTCTCGAAAAGCCAACGCTTGCAAGGTAAATTCCACCCCTTTAGCCAAATATCGAGTTTATGTCTTCATGGTATATTTTCCTCACACGCGAGGTGAGGTTCGTACGAACCTTGCAATTTGCCTTGGCTGTTTTTGCCTGTTGTCCATACCCCTTCTATAGGCTTTTCAAAACTACGACTCATTTTTTCGCTGCATTGTTAACAGTTGTATCGATAGCCGCGATTTTCGATTCTACTTATGGTCGAATGACAAACACTATCGACCTATCTAAATTAATTGTATTATTATGTTGATTGCGGTGCTTTCTAGGTGAATTGTTGGCCTCCAGCGTTATATGGCCCTCAAAAAATACATGTCTTCTTTCATAAAAAATTTGAATATTTATCTGATTTTATTTGTTAACAAACAACAGTGTACCTGGTCACACTGTGGACAACGACCACCCAGAAAACCAAACGCTCGCAAATTATATCATATAAGAAACGCTCGCAATTGGACCCGCAAATGATAGATATATGATACTTGTATACTTGTGTCGTTCAGGTTTTTACAGTTAAGGTATAGTTTATGATAGCTCGCAAACGGATCTTTTGCGAGCATTGCACGATATCTTTTGCGAGACTGTGGCTCGCTTGCGAGAGTTTTGCGGACTTTTCGCGAAAGTCACGTTTGTTTGTTTGCTGGGTATGTACATCATGCTTTGGTATTAATTCATCACCGGCTCCAAAGATGCTAACAAAACAAAAACTGCGATCCTCTTTGGAGTTGCTGAAACGGTACGAATGGCTTTTGAACTCCTACGTTATGGTAAGTGAATTGTTTGAGTCTTATTCACTTATTAATTGATTCGCCTTCCGTAGGACTTTTATGTGGATGACCATTGGAGCAAACTGCCGGATAGTTGGCAACATCACCTTGAAAGCATTCCTATGGAAAGATTTGAGGCGCTGCTCTACATTAGTGACAGTGAAGCTGCTCCCAAAAATACGAGCATAGTATGGCCGCTGGAGTTGTTGGCGTTGCGTCGAGCACTTCGTAATCTCTGCATTGGGCGGACAGAGGAGAATCAACCCAAAGTTGGTAAACTCTAGCCCCAGCCTGAAGAGGAAGAGGGTCATGGTACTAATCGTCTTTTCGCATGCAGGAATCGTTTCCTTGTCCGTTGCTGCATCATCCCAAGCTGAAGCACCTGTTCATGAAACGAGTCAAGCCAAAGAAGCAACATGAAATCACCCGAATGGCTGAAATTTGTGCTCTCAGCTGCCGGACGACACCAGTGGATTTCGTTGTTGATTTCGGAGCAGGCGTTGGTCACCTGGCACGCATTCTGGGCTATGGATTTGGCATACAAGTCTGCTGTTTCGAGATGCAGACCGAGCTAAATCAGCAAGCAGTGGCCATTGATATGAAGCTGGAGTCGATTGCAGCAAAGCTCACGGAGGCCAGCGGCTACAAGCGACCTGTACATCTCACTCAGCGTCTGGAGAGTAACACGCAACCGGCGCAATTCATCGCCGGGATCCGGGATACCTTGCAGCTGGCAAGCGATGACTTTCGATTTGGAATCATAGGCCTGCATCCGTGTGGGAATCTGGGGGCGACCCTGATGCGAATGTTCCTTGGGTGCTCGCAAGCCAAGTTCCTGAACTTCGTGGGCTGCTGCTACCAGAAAATGAGCACTCCAGCAACACATCCCGGCGCGGAGGTGCATGGTTATCCGTTAAGTGCGTTCCTGCAGAGCAAACCGGATACAGATACTAACCTCAGCTACGAGGCCAGGGAGATCTCTTGCCATGCCATGGAGGTGTACCGTGATCGCCTACAGGCTGGTCAATATGACCATTTGAAAATACACTCGTTTAGGGCCGCCGCCGAACGCATTATTGTCCAGCAGTTTCCACATCTGCGGCACTGTGCTCTCCGTAACGTAAAACATGCCCCTGGAATGTCGTTCGACGAGTAAGTCGTGCACCACACTCCTTGTTATCTTGATAATTCGATATCCAGATGGTCTGGTCTATAGTTATTTCCAGAAAGCCGTGCAGGGGACTCGATTTGAAATGCTAGAACGACAGGCTCTGAGTATTAGGCAATGCGATGCAGATGTAAAGCACTGGAAGCGGCTCGTTATCTTCTACACGCTTCGCCTAATGCTGGCGCCGCTTGTGGAAAGCATTATCCTCTACGATCGTGCTCTCTTTCTATCTGAGAATGGTATTCTTCTGATCCTCTTGATTTATATGATATTCCTTTACAAGCAATCCCTTACTTGCAGATTGTCAGGTGGAGGTTCAGGCAATCTTCAATCCCCGCCTATCGCCGAGAAACCACATCACCAGGGCTGTGAAAACCAGACGCTGCCTCAGTAATAATCTGGGTCAGCAATAAACCGCAAACCTCAGACCTCAAGTGGCTTATCTTAAAGATTTAAAGTTGTTTTTTATAAGGGTTTATTAAAACAAAGATAAAGATATTATCATAAGTCAGATACACTAAGTACTTAAAGTCTGTCTAGATCGTTGAACGGATAGAATCGGATAGATATTGCTCCTCAGGACCTTCCTTCCTAGTTGTAGTAGCCCTTCTCGTCGGCTGCCTCCACAATGGTGCGAATGGCGGTGAAGGCCTCGCTGGCTGTTGGCTGTATCTCCACGGCGGGTAGAATGAAGAGGTCCTGGCTGTCGGGCGGTCCGCGCAGCTCGAATGTGTAAGCAATCGGAATGCCCGCCTCTTCATGGGCCCAGTCCATGCTGCCACCGCTCGAGGGATAGATGGTCTCGTAGAGACTCCCGCTGACATAGTCGCGTCCACTCTCCGCCTTGATGGCGGCCGCCGCCTTCTTGCCAAACTCTTGCAGATCGTCGTAGTTGGACACACGCTCCTTGGTGTATCCGTACGGGAACATGAGCATCTGCGAGTACGAATGCAATGCGATGTATGTTTTGATCTGCTCCTTCTGGACGTTGCTGCGTATGAACTGGAGGAGGCACTGGGTCTCCAGCTCGCTTCCGGCAGAGGGGCCGGCAAAGTCATAGCGCGTCGGATCACTGCTGGAGCCGGTGGAGTTCCAGTGATCGGGATAGTTTCGGTTCAGGTCTACGCCGCGGCAGGTGCCGAACAATTGACGATTCTTGCGCCACATGCGGTCATGCTCGAAGGTGTACTTGTAGCCGTCGGGATTCACGCAGGGAAATATGATCCAATTGAAGTTCTTGGCCAGCTTCTGCACGCCAGGGTCCTGCGAGGTCAGCAGCTCATTGATAATGTACGTCGCTGTGGCCGGCGCAATCCATTCGCGGGCATGTATGCCGCTCTCAATGAAGATGGCCTTGTTGTCCGGATTGCTGGCCAGCTTGATGCCCTTAATGGCGTGGCCCTGGGTGCTTTTGCCCATGTCGAGCACGGTCAACAGATCGGGGTACTTCTTCGCCATTACATCCATCCAACCGTAGATGGTCTTCAGGTGGAAGAAATGCTGCCAGTCGTACTGCGTGGCATCAATGCTCTCGGGCAGCACCTCGCCCATATTGCGATCGATCTTTTCCTGAAAGTTGTACGTCTGCAAAGAGTCCAAATGTTAGAGGTCAAATCAACGTATAATGAAGAGATTCAATCGCCATGCAATACCAGAACACGATGCTTCAGCTTGTAGGTCTTCAGCAGATCGGCAAAGTCTGCCACTCGATGAGCCGCCACCAGAATGGACAACTTCTGGCCAATCTCGCGGGCATGGCCGATGAATGTTAGACTGTCGCTCTGGTCCTCCAGTTTCTGGAACAACTCGATCTGCTCCTGATTGTCAAATTGTACATTGTAGATGCGATAATGGTCGTACCGGGCCTGATCCGGCGGGGGCGGGGACCCAGCGTCAATCAGGCAAATTTCGTCGCCACATTCCAGTTTAATACCACTCGCTGCCATCGTCAGAATCGTAATGACTAACAACCGCGCGCCGACTAGCCATGTTAGCATATTTATAATATTATTTCTGTCCCCGTTCCCCCTTCTCAGGCCGTAGACTAGTTCGCCGAAGAGCGTATGTATATGCAGGCAAGAGCGAGCGAGAGGCTCGAGGCCCAGAGAGTATTTGTTATCAACACTTTGCAGCAGGCGAGCAGGAAACATATGTACGTATGTTTGCGATTGAGAGGGTGCGGGTGCGGGCAAACCAGATCCGTCACAGCTGTGGACTAATCCGGAAAATCAAGAGAGAAATAGAGTCGCAGACATGTTTCGCGTGTCCGTTGTTTTATTGTTTCATGGAAAATGTGACATGCTTAATCCTAGGTACTGCAAATGGTTTTACAATATTTTTATACCCCCTCATGTAATGTGACCTACTTCTTCTTTCCGCGGCCCAGGGTCAGCGTCGATAGGTGGCTGCTGCCGTTGGAGAGCTGCTGCTTGCGGCGCTGCAGTTCCTGGCACTCCTCCTCGAGTAGGCGACGGGTCTCCTCCAGTCTGGCCTTCTCCTCCAGATGCTCCCTCTTGAGGCACTCGAATTTGGTGTGCAGCTCCTTCTCGCTTTCTTTGAGCTCGTTCTCCTTCTGCTTGACACGCTGCACAAACATTTGACGCACTTCCTCCTCCTTGGCCTGCAGACAGGCCAAGTGATTGGTGCGCTTCGTCTCGAATGTCTGCTGGAAGGAAACCGGCTTGTTGTTGCAATCCACATCAACAAAGCCCATCTGCTGCAGACGTCGCTGGCGGAAGAGCTCGTAGTGGCGCGTGTGAGTCTGCTCCCGCAGATCCTCCATGTTGGTGCGAATGAGCATCTCGCGCAGCTTCACAAAGTCACAGTGAACTTCGTTCTCGATCTGCACCGTGCCCCAGGGATACTGGCGGGCGCGTACCATCTTGCTGCCGATCTTCACAAACTCTGTGCTGCCGACGACAGCGAAGGGAACATGGCTGTTCATGGACTCGTTCGTCTCGGACACCGTCTCGTCGTCCGTGGGAAACTCATATATGTTAACTTTGTTCTCGCGTAACTCGGCCAGAATCCTCGCCTTGAAGCCAGCCAGCTCCGACTTTGATATGGTGTCGGCCTTGGCAATGACCGGTATAATGTTGACCTTGTTGTCCAACTGCTTCATGCACACCAGATCCATCGACTTTAGGCCATGTCCGGTTGGGCAGATGAAGTAGAGACAGACGTGGACGCGCCCGTCATGGGCGGTGGCCATCGATCGCTGGATCTTGAGCTCCTCCTGCAAGTAGGACTCAAACTGTGAGTCTACATATTCGACGAGCGCCTTGTACGAGTCCTCCTTGTTAACCTGGTCGCCGTAACCAATCGTGTCGCAAATTGTTAGCTTCAGCCGAACGTTGCTCTCCTGCAGTTCGTAGGTGTGGGCCTTCAACTTGACATTGGGCAGGTTGTGGGTGCTGGGCGCCGACCCAAAGCTGGTGTTGAACAAGGTGTCCATCAAGGTTGACTTTCCCAGCGCCGTTTCGCCAATACACATGATGTTGAAGCTGAAGCCATTCTGCACGCTTTTATTGACCAATTGGTCGGGGAGAGTGTCGAAGCCCACATGGCCCCCCAGTTGGAGTTGTCGTGGAACCGCCACCGATGCCTTTTCCGTTGCTACATGTACCATTTCGTCTATGCTTCGAAACTGTCAGTCTCAAGATCTTTGCCGGTGTCCTTTTATATGATTAGATAGCCAAATTTCAAGAACACCAACACGTCAGACTAGTCATCGGGATTCCCAGCATCTGCTGCGATAATGAGAGTTTAATTACCTAAATACGAAGGCTTCCTTACCTGTTTTCAGTTTACCTGCGTTACTTTGAATTCGGATTTTAAGAGCACAGAGATTTTCCCTCCATAAAGGTTATGTCGAGAAGAGTTGCGTTGCCGATATCGGGGACATCGATGCTCCGACTCGCCGACTCATCGCCGAAAGTCCACCTCTAGCGCATACAGAATTTGCAACGCCGCAGAAAAAACGCGTTTCGTGGTCTATTTTACCGACGAATTGGCTAAAGTTAATATATATTTTAGTTTCGAAGTGAAAACAGTGGTAAGGACTTAATTGGCAAACCGAATTTCTTTTCATTGGGCTCCCTACATACCCTTAAAGAGTTTTTTCTTTGTCAGTGGCGGCCGCCATTTTTTTTCTGCCATGGTCGGTGTCGTCTTTTCTCTTTTTTCACCAAGGGGCACTTGTACGATGCAACTAATTGGTTATTCGGGTCGCGTTTCATCACTTAGTTTTCAATTCACTCTGTTTTTGGCCATCTTGCAGACATAGTCACGAGAAAAGCTTCTCAGGCAGCCCCATAATTGCAAGAGCATAACCCACCCGCTCATGAGTAGTCATAGAGACGGACCCGGACCTGAACTCGATCGCATCACAGTCAAAATCCACAACATGAAGCGAAGCGCCTCGCGCTCCCCAGGCCCTGGTCCAGGTAGAGGACCCTTGCCTCCCAGGAACTCCAGGAGCATAGGACGCGGCTACGACAATGGCAGCGGAGTGCCAGGCGACTCGCCCGAACGCATCTCCCCGGAGCGCATGCGACGCCGTTTGGATAGGTCACCGAGTCCACGTGGCCGCTACGGATCGCCGCATAGGGAGCAGTACATGCGTGGGCCGCCGTCTGCGGAACGCCCTGCCGCCTACAAGGTTTTGTGCGTGAGTGCACTGCCCCCAAAGGCACCGGACGAGTTCGTCGAGGAGACGCTTTACCGCGAGTACAAGAAATTCGGGGACTTTAGTGTTCGCATCGCGCACGACCTCGACGAGCGGGTGGCTTACGTGTGCTTCCGCACACCTGACGATGCTCGAGAGGCGAAGCATCACAAGCCGCGCCTGATCATCTACGACAAAATGGTGATGGTGGAGCCAGTGTACAAATCGATCCCCCGTCCTGACTACAGGTATGATTCGTTAGCTCTGAGCTGTAGTTGTTCCCTGCAAGCAATTACCGATACCTGAAATATTTACAGACCTCGCGGGCATTCTATATCGCCGCCGGACTACGAACGTTACCACTACTCGCGCTCGCCCATGGGACCAGGTGGGCCCATCGACCACCGCCGACCTCCGATTGATCCGTACGATCGTTACGGATCGTTACCGCATATGCATCCGCATGCAGTGCATCCACGCGAGTACCGTCCCATGCACCACGAGTATCCTCATCCACCACGTGGTCCCCCGATGCACCGTGGTCATCCGCATCATCTGCACGGAGGTCATCCTCCGCCCCATCAGTATCCCCCCATGAGGCCTATGGCCCCGCGAGCACCGCATGTTCCGTATGAAAAGCCTGAGAGCAAAAAGGACAAGTTTCCCAACTATCTGCACCACGTGCAGCCCGAGGATGATCCACTCGCGACGCGCACTCTCTTCGCCGGCAACCTGGAGGTGACCATAGCCGACGATGAACTGCGTCGCATATTCAGCAAGTACGGCGTGGTCGACGACATCGATATAAAGCGGCCACCGCCTGGCACCGGAAACGCATTCGCCTTTGTGCGCTACCAGAATCTTGACATGGCTCATCGGGCCAAAATCGAACTCTCCGGACAGTACATTGGCAAGTTCCAGTGTAAGATTGGCTACGGAAAAGTGACGCCAGCTACACGCATGTGGATCGGCGGACTGGGTGCTTGGACCTCGGTGACACAGCTGGAGCGAGAATTCGACCGCTTTGGGGCCATCAAGAAGATTGAGTATCAAAAAGGAGAGCCCTACGCGTACATACAATACGAGACGGTGGAGGCAGCCACAGCAGCGGTCAAGGAGATGCGAGGCTTCCCCCTGGGCGGTCCGGAGCGTAGACTGCGCACTGATTTTGCAGAGCTGCCGGGAGCCACACCAGCGGCGTCCTCGTTTAAGACCTCCAAGCCGCCGTACGATGAGAGCGCACTAGAGTATCGACGTCCGGAGTACGATCCCTACTACGAAGAGGCACCTGTATATGCCCCCCGGGGCGGCTATTCCCCCTATCCGCCGCGTGGCGGCTACCGCGGTCGTGGTGGCTATCGCGGACGTGGTCGCGGCATGTATCACTATCACAATGATGTACACAGGCCTCCACACCCTGGTGCGCTGGGCGGAGGGCCCTCTTCGGTGCCGCCACCAGGCGGAGTGGATGATGAGTGGCGTCGTCCACCGGGCGAGTCCTACGATCGGACAGCTCGTTCCATTTCACGCGAACCTGGCGTTGAGCGTTCCCGTTCTCGTTCGCCCCTCAAGCGCGGCCGTTCTCCAGGCTCCGACTCTGACACCTCGACTCGACGCAACGATGTACTCGGCACGGCCACCACAGTACCAGAAGTGGCGCGCAAGTGCGGCACGGTGTGGACTGGAGCTCTGATCCTGAAGAGCTCCCTCTTCCCGGCCAAGTTCCATTTGACAGACGGTGACACGGACATCGTGGAGTCTCTGATGCGGGACGAGGAGGGCAAGCATAACCTACGCATAACCCAGAGACTGCGCCTAGATCCCCCAAAGCTAGATGATGTGCAGAAGCGCATCGCCTCCTCCTCGGCGCATGCCATCTTCATGGGTCTGGCCGGATCCACGGTGGACACCAATTGTGATGACACAAGCGTTCAGACGCGTCCACTGCGCAATCTTGTGTCCTACCTAAAGCAAAAGGAGGCGGCTGGTGTGATCTCCTTGCTGAACAAGGAGACCGAGGCGACGGGAGTTCTGTATGCCTTCCCCCCCTGTGACTTTTCTACAGAGCTGCTGAAGCGCACGTGCGTCAGCCTCACCGAGGAAGCCCTCAAGGAGGATCATCTCGTCATTGTTGTGGTGCGCGGTGGAACGGCCTAACTTGGGCCTGGGAAGGGGAGTGGCAGTGTAGGGAGGAGGAGAGCTAAAGTGCTGGACAAACTGCGAGGTAAAAAGCTATCCACAGGGCTCGTTGGAAAGCACACTCCCCTCCACAACGTAACTATTAAGTAGAAAACCTAATGTATCTAAGAGTCCCCTATCCAGAGGAGACGTGACATACACGCAAGGGTCGTGTATATGGTGGACACCAGACATCCTTGACATCCTAGACATCACACATCCCCATACACAAAAACACATTCGATTCACTTAGCCATAGAAATATCTACACACCCATGCACTCCCTTAGAGAAGACCCGGAGAATTGAGCAGACATCCCATAACCAGTAACAGAACCAGTAATCCCCCATAATCCATTGTAATTAATCAATTATTGTTCTTTTTGCAGTTCTTTGAGAGGCAGTCTGATCCTTATGGTTTCTTGAAAGTTCTCCCGTTGTGTTAGTGACAGTGTACAGTTGTGCTTAAAAAGTTGTGGAATGAAACCCACAAGAAAAGTTTTTTGTAATTGCTATCTAAACTACACAAGTATTTTTTTTAATTTGTAATTATATATGATAAAGTGTCCAATTTCCGAATGAAATGCAAGATATCTATCTCCCTTACGAAACAATTCAGAAAATATTCAACGAGTGCAAAAAAGAGTTTTGTGTTATTTTGAAATTCATCCTTATTTCGAGTTGTGTTATTTTCGATACCCTGTTTATGCAAAGTTTTAGTTTAAGACCGTAAAATAGTGCGACAACAAGTGCACCCCCAGTCTGATTGTCGACATTACATGCGAGCAAACACCAGAACTCGTTTCTCAAGCAGATGAGCAGTTAAGCAGTGCCCTCCGAGTTGATTTCGTTGCTTGGTGCTTGACGCTTGGTGCATGGTGCATGGTGCAGTGCAGCAGTTTTTCCCCTGTGCAAAAAGTGTGTTAAATAAACAATGATTTGAATTGTTCCATTGGTGGCCTGATGATGCCTTCAGCTTCACTCGAATCTCCTCGTGGCTTGGCGCTTGCTGTGGTGAGTGAGGTGTGGTGTGGTGAATCTGTGCTGTATTCGGTCCTTCTGGACCTGGACCCTGTTCTCGATCCGTTCCGATACGTTCACCTTCCATCCGAATAGAGAACGTCGTGTAGCATTCGCTCCAAAATGTTTTCGCTGTTTGAATGGGTTTGGCGATTGTTACATTGGTTCTCTTGTGGTTGCTCTCAACAACAAAGTGGTGTGGTGTGGTGTTTCGATTATAATTTTACAAATACATATATGATTTTCCGTTTATGTGTGTTCAAGTGTCCATTCCGGAACAATATCATTACTATACAGCTATAGATGGATAATAGCTACCTATCCCAGAAAAGAAAGTGCATGTGTATGTGTATGCGTGCGTTGTCAAATCACAAATATCGAGAGAGATACGTACATATTTATTGAAAATTCGAAAATTCTGTTTAATCGAGCCTAATAGATCCTGAATCTATACCCTCAGAGATAGTTGTACCGCAAAAAAGTAAAATAATTCAAGTTGAAAGCAAAGCATATATACCTATACCAAAAGGATAAAGATAACCATGAAAATATTCCATGCTATGCTTCAAAAAATATTACAAACAATTGTCTATTATACTGATACTTAAATAAAATATAATCGTCAACAATCTATCCCAATTACAATGTCAATGTCAATGTGTTCAAAGTTTCGCTGTGAAAAAAGTGAGTTCTAGTGCCCGTCGTGATGCAGTGCAACGATCCAATCCGATCCCAGAAGCAGGAAGGTAAAATAATCCGCGCCATGGATATGTTCAACGTAAACACTTATGTTTGATTTAATAGCAATCCAAGTTCAATCGTAATATATATAAAAGGTTGTACAGATGGCATAATATGAAGGTTGCTCCACCTTATATGTGACGAATCCATCCTTTTCAGCATCCCACAAGAAGTTAACCATCGAATAGAGGCCCTGCATCAGGCACTCGCCCACAGTGACGAGCACTATGTAACGATATCTGCGGGAGAGCAGATTATATAGACTGGGGATTAGGGAGAACTCCACATAGGGATGGGGATGGTGATTACCTATCATAGTTCATTAATTTAATGCGATTTTTGATCTCCTCGCTGATCTGGGCTGCCATGTGCAGCGAGTGCTTTGGATGAAACATGTACTCATCGTTGTAGTGCTTGTTCATAACCGCCTTCATGATTATTTCCACCCGCTCCTTGTTCAAAGGGTTCTTGGGTTCCAGGCGATACGTGGGCATAAAGCGCATAGTGGGCTACCACAAGAGGGACAGGTTAGACGGGGAACGGGATTTAAGGGAACTTCCAGAACTTACCTTCGGCTGCGGAGCCATGCCGAAGGGGCTGGTCACCCCCCCAGACTTAGTCAGAGATGTGCGCTGGCTGCCAGTCCCTCTCTGCATGGTGGCGGAACGAAACAACACGTTAGTTCTGGATTAGACATGTCCCCAAACCCAAAACCAGATCCACGGCACTGCACAACACAACACATCCCAATCCCTAAACCCAACCCAAAACTGATGCCTGGCCGGGATATGCGTGACAGTGTCAAATTTCGGGCAGCAAATGCATTCCCATGTTCACATTTCGTAACAAGCATCAATCCATTAAAAAGACATCAAATACCCATGGAATCATGATGGCAAAATCAATCGTGTACCTTCTCACGCTCCTGGCCCAGACACAGGGTAACCAGACCCGACCAGTTCTTGGCTGCAGAGTCGGCCATTTCGGTTGAACGCTTGGCGTGCCGTCAATGTTGGAATCGAGTCGAGTACGTCGCGGTTAACCATAAAACCACAAATGATTAGCCATTTCCAGCATGACAAAGTGCCGCATGTCTCCGTGGCAATGTCCCGGGACATTGTTGGATCAATAAATGGCACACATTCTGCCCCCAATCCGATGCCGATGGCTGGGATGTGGATGTGTTTTTGTGTGCCACTTGGCAGCCGACTGCCGAGTGCCGAACTTACCTCTCCCTTGCCCGCTTTGTCCTTGTCTTTTCCCTTGCCGGATTTCTCCTTAGAAGAAGCAGCAGGCGCAGCTGCTTTATCCTCCTCCTTGGCAGCGGGAGCCGCAGGCCCATCCTGCTTGGTGGGCTGCTCTTCTGGAGTGTCGGACATTATCCGAGTGTTTTTTTCTTATTTTTATTTTAAAGGCAAAAACTACTAGCTCTTCCTGTTGTGACTACAAATAAATATCTAAGATGAGCGGGGACAGAATCCCAGAACTGGGATAGCCTACTGGGATTCGGGGATATCATAGCTTGGCGTGATGTTAAACTAAAACTTTGTCTGAGTCTGAGTCAGTGATGTCTTCATGAAATCTGAGTAGCTCTGAGTCATCGAGATCCAAAGGTAAGGTACGACGACTCTCATATTTGTTTAGACTTGAAAATATTCCAGAGAATTCCCTGAGAACCCTCCCCTGAGCCCTACGATTGTAGGTCAGATTACAACGGCAAGTTACTTTAGACTTTATTTGGTTTGCAATAATTGGATGTGGGGAGTAGGTATCGCGTTTCGTTTGCCTTTAAGTATCGTTAGACATTTGTATACACAGTCTGTAGACAATATAACACACACATATGTATCAAGTTACGAGTTAATCTTAAGTTTCTGTGCTCTAATGGTGGATGGGTATGTATGCTATGGGCCATACTACAAAACATCGATTACGGTACACGTATATACACACACATATTCAAATACATACATTATTCTGATACATATAATTCGGATAATTACACACATAATAAATTCTCTATAAAAAGGGGAAAAACAATAACAGTGCGAGATTCTGGGCCACCTTTCCTTGTCCATTTTCCATTTTTGGCTATTTTGTTCCTTCCTTTGCGAGTCCACGACTCTGGGGGTATGTCTAGACTTTAACGAACAGTTGAGCGTTTTTGAAACACTCGTGGCTCTTCGAAAACTAAATAAAGTTAAGATACAAAATACAAAAGTCGTAAAACTACTAAAAATTGTGTTCTTGGTGGAGAGAGAGAGAGAGAGTGTGTGTGAGAGAGTACAACACCGAGGAACAAGTTCTTAGACATCTAACATCAATGTACTGTACGAAAGTAACCCTTGGGTTATTATAAAAGATAGTTCTCTCTTTGATAGCATCGTCCGTGGTGCAAATTTTGGTGCAGACTTATTTGTATGTAAATATTGGAAAGTATTAGATTCCTCTGTATGTCGTTTGTTCTTCTGTTTTTCGGTTTTTGTTTCTTTTGATATTCATTCGTACCAAAGTCAGTTTCAGTCGTGTAGTGGACACATAAGTAAAGCTTTAGTTGCGATCTGGAGCCTGTTTTGGGATTCGTTAGACCGTTTCGCAACGTGTTGTGACTCGTAACGTGTACATATAGTATAAATAGATCCCTTTAGCTGATTATTTGTACGAGTATGCTATAAATAGTGGACACATATAGGCTGTAATTATATATATGTATAATCAGTGGGTTTCGTAAATACAAGTAGTATTAGGCTGGATTGTTTCTCTGGGTATGCTAAGCTTAGCGATAGATTGATCGATTCTTTCATTCATCTGCCGCCCGGCATGCGTGTCGTTTTTTGTCTCAATATGCATCTAAAAATGGTTTTTATATTGATTTTGATGGCACGGTTATTTCATAACGCCACATTTGGTCCAAATTTTAACGTTTATAATCTTTTGCCTATTTGCCCTTCTGACGCATTAGTCGTTTGAGCGCACTTTGCGGAGAGAGCCGCGATTGAATTTGCAAATAGACTCGAGCAGTGCGGAACGCGTCAGTTCATCGCCCTCGCCTTCGCCTTCAGCGGCTTCAGGGTCCTCTGCCAGCAAATTTGGTGTGGATGATTGCCTTTCCACCGATCCAGATGCCGATGTGGATGTGCTGCTTGCAGCAGGTAGGTCCCGATCCCGCTGGTAAATCGTGCCAAAATGTGGGGCCGGTGTAAGCGGTGGGGCTGCGAGGAATACGAAACAGCATATCAGTTGGGTAAGTATGAAGAGATACGGAAAGCAAACTATCAATTTTAAGGTGTGGACGACAGAGATAACTACATTTGAAGGCGGCCAGAGTGGGTTCTTCAGGAGTGCTGTCGGAGCGGTTGAAGGAGTCTGCCGCGTTTGGCCCACTAGCAGCCAGGGTGCTGGATGAAGCAGTCGCTGCAGTTGCAGTCGCAGCCGCAAGCGACAAGCGTCCGTTGTTCGTTTGCAGTGAACCTTGCTGCTTTAGCTTGGACTGTTTGTGCTCTAGTTTCTAGATATAAGCGTTTAATGTTTCAATAAATGAAAAAGAGAAATCAAAACGTGATCGTTAAATTGCTGTGAGACAAAAGGAGCTACGTGGGATGCTAGAGTTTGATAACTAACTGCTTTCTGCTTGGATTTGCGCTTCTCCTCCTCGGAGCTCATCAGCTCCTGCACCCGCACAATTCGCTTCTGGTTCTTCACCGACTTTTGCTCGTCGCGCAGCCGATTCTCTGTCTTTATGGCTGCCTGCTTGAGCAGCTCTTTGGCGTTTAAGGACAATTTAAAGTGTGGCTTTTCGGTATTAGCCCCGCCAGCAGCAGCTGCCTCACCCGTCGAGGCATATTGTGCGAAGAAGCGGTGGCCAATTAGTTGCTCCAGTGTCGGAAGCCCAGACTTGCAAGCCTCCTTTGAGAGGATGCTCTCCAGCAAACATTCTGCAAATGATATAGCTTAAGTAGATAAGGCACAGCATGGATTGGGACTCACTTAGCGTCTCGGGGCATTCGGTAATTTGTCGCACCACAGATTCTTGAAGGGGATAGCCCATGGTCATTTCGAATAGTACATGGCCGAAGCAGTACACGTCCACGGTTTCCATGGTATGAATCTTGCTGTGCTGCATGAAGAATGGCCGATAAAAGGCCGGCACGCCCAGCAGTTGATTTTCAATGTCCAGCAGCCTGACACAATCGTCCAAAATGACTATGTTACCAGAATGTAGGTGGCCTGCAGGAGTGTACACAATTGTATTATTTATCAATTTATCAATTGTATTAAAATTAACGATAAATACAGGAGAGGAAAGAAAGAAAACAGTTTTACGAATTTTGAAAAAACAGGTAGGGGATCCCTAAGAAATGTACTCACCATAGGCATAGCCTTTGGAATGCAAAAATATGAGAGCCTCTAGGATCTGCCTGCCGTAGGTGGCCACTTGCTTCATGGAGAGCGCAGTGCGTCCCTTCGGATTGCCGTACTTGCTCAGGAAGGGGTTCTTTGGGTTCGTGGCCATGCACAACACATCCTTGAGGGTGCCATGCTTGTGGAATCTGGAAGAAAAGCAGACAAAAACTCAGGCAAACGCACGACATTAATCCCATTCTCCAATTTTACTTTCTGATGACAAGACATCCGCTTTCCGTGTGGCCGGCCATGATTACTGGCTCGATGTGTTGATGCTGGAGGCCCATCAGGCTCTTCAGAATCCCGGTCATCTCCTTCTCTTCGATAAACTTGTCTGGTCCAGCCTCGAGCCATTCGGCCACCATCTCGGCATTGGGGTCATACGATCCGCCATCCATTGAATGTCCGCTGCCATTGCTGCTGCCGGCGGCGAAATGCTTGCTCTGGTGCGACTGGGAACCGCTCTTCACCAACTTGTTGCTGCTCTTCTCCGGCGGCTTGGGCGTAACCTTAAAATAGTGCTTGCGTAGACGCCAGCCTATGGCACCCATTGTGCCACCCAGGGCCCATGCCGAATCGTTGCGCAGGCAGAGCATTGCATTCTGCACAGCATGGTCTGCAATTGAATTATTGTAACTAATCAATATGCAAATGGGTGGGGTATAGGGTATACTGTTACCATGAAATGATTGCGAGTAGCTCTCGGGGTCAACGAAGCGCTTCGCTGGCAACGATGATGCCAATATGGGATTCATTAGTACAGCGTTTATGTATACTTGCAGTGCTTGTTTTCGTTCAGCTACGAAGTCCGGGCGCATATTACCGAAGATGCGTTTGCGAGGCAACGGCAGCTCAATGCCCGAGATGCGGAGACATTTGTCCAGCTTGTCGAAGTCATTGTAGCGGCGCAGAACATTCCAGGAGTTTTCTGTGGTCGGCCCCCTCTGCACACGCAGCAAGTACTCCTGCAGGCAGACAGACAGACATGCACATGCACATACATTACAAGATACATACTTATTATCATTCGCATGAAATCATCAACAATTATTGATTTTTCTTGGGGCCCCACGAAAAGATTTCTTCCTGCCTGCCACTCACCGTATGCCCGTCGACTTCCTCAACTGTGGTTATCTCGCAGCTCAGCGGTTGGGTATCATCAATTGGCAATTTTCGTTCATATCTGCTCGCAAAAATTGCCATTGGTTATATCTGGATACATTTTCTTCCAATCTGCCAGACACTCTACGAAACGATATGTGTGTTTGTGTGTGTATAGCGGAGTGTCGCTCCCCTCTATCGATTACGCGGACACAGCACAAGAATATTACAATAACAAATGGTTAAACTAAAAAATAATTTCACTTAATTTAATTGGAAGCGGGTTTTTTTTTAAGATTATCTATTGTTATTTTTCAATTGAACCCGTACCAAATAATTTTTCCACTGTTTTCGTTAATCCAGTGTTGTAAAACAGCCCAAACTTTTGCTACGCGTCTTACAGCACTGTCGCGACATCGACAATCGATAGTTTGCATTGTTGTTTTTAGTGCGAAATAATTAGGAATATATTAAATTAAACGTAGCTGCATCCTCAAAAATGGGCATTTCGACGGCTATCCTGCGGAACCAGTTGATGAGCCTGATCAACTTCACTGGCACACACAAGGACCAGGCGGACAAGTACCGCCAGCTTCTAAGGACTGTTCTGTCGAATACCGGACAAGAATTGATCGATGCGCTGAGGCTCTTTGTTGAGGCAATTGTCAATGAGCATGTCAGCCTGGTTATCTCGCGTCAGATCCTGAACGATGTGGGCGTGGAGCTGAGCAAGCTGCCCGATGATCTCTCTAAGCAATTGTCGCACTTCACACTGGAAAAGGTCCATCCACGCGTAATTTCGTTTGAGGAACAGGTTGCCGGCATCCGTTTTCATTTGGCGAACATCTACGAACGGAACCAGCAGTGGCGTGCCGCTGCCACAGTGCTAGTTGGCATACCCTTGGAGACTGGTCAAAAGCAATATTCCGTCGAGTGTAAATTGGGCACCTACTTGAAAATAGCCCGGCTCTACCTAGAAGACAATGACTCCGTGCAGGCCGAGCTGTTCATTAATCGCGCCTCGCTGCTGCAGGCCGAGACCAACTCTGAGGAACTCCAGGTGCGTATAAGCTTTGGACTAACGTTGCGCCCTTCCCTCACACACACCAAAACCAACGCACTTTTCTTGCCAGGTGCTTTA